AGGATCCCCGGGCTCCGTCGGCTGCCCGGTCTCACCCCGAGGTCTGGCTGGAGGACGTTTCTTGTGCGGGGCCAGAGGGAAGAGATGTCAGTCCCCGTCGCAACTGCTCATCACAGAAGCGGCCACGGAAAACGCATGGAAAAGCGAGAGGTGCCGCGTTCCCGCGGGGCGTCCTTGGCCGGCAGTGGGCAGGCTGGACACCGGATATACTCGTGTGCCCACCCCGGTCCAAGGCTCTTCACAGCACGTGGGAGCGTCTCCCCTTCATTCCTCTCCCCCCGAGCACGGCTGCAGCCCTGGCGCTGTCTGAAGCACGATGTCCCAGCCTCGCCTGTGTGCACCACCTGCGTCGCGTTTCCCTGTTTGCACACACCTGCAGTATTTGATCAACACCGAGGGACATTTTTACTAGTGTTCAAGCAGTTGCGCATCTTAAGTGAACAGGCGATGTATTCCTGTGTGTGCATGATACCCATGAAAATAAAACGATTTTACGCTACTGGCCACCGCCCGACCTGACATGATTCGGGGTACCATCCGAGGCCTGGGTGGCATCGGGGAACCCTTGAGGTGCAGGAATAGGGCTGCTGCCATGACCGTGAGTTGCAGCAATGTCTGTTGATGGCTCGTCTGTTCGGTCCGCTCAGTGCAGGCGCCCCTGTGGGTGCCCAGTTCGGGAGGACGGGTGCAAGGAGGCGGCCTCGTTGCGTCACAGTCCACAGCCGGTGCCGAGGCGCAGCAGGAGTCCGTGCGTCAGGAGAAGAGGCCACCGTGGCGAGCGAGACGAAGTGTACTCGGTGGGGCGGAGGAGAGCGGACTGGGAAGTCGGTCTGGGAGCAGTCGCACGGGTGAACGCGGGCCGCTGAGAAGCCGTCGATTCGCTTTGGGAAGCCGGCCCGGAGGGGTGTCAGTCCGGGGTGGCGGTGACGTGCCACGCAGTGAGCTTGGAGGACCACCCAGCACAGTGGCTAGCGGGTCCAGGTAGCAAATGCTTAGATCGCGTTAGGTCAAAAACAGCAGGAACACAACATTCTAGGACCACAGAATTATGTGTAAAAACTCACCTACGCCCGGGCCGGTGCGGTTCAGTGGTTAGAGCGCCGTTCTGTGCACCAAAGGGTCTCAGGTTCGATTCCAGGTCAAGGGCACGTGCCCAGGTTGCAGGTTGATCCCGGCCCAGTCGGGGCCCTTGTGGGAAGCAGCCTTTCGATGTATCTCTCTCACATCGATGTTTCTCTCTCTCTCCCCACCCCCTTCCATCTGCTCTCTAAAACTCAGTGGAAAAAATATCCCCCCCGTGAGGATTACAACCAGAAAAGTTTATCTTTGTGGAGAAAGGGACCTGGAGGAAATCCCTCCCTGGGAGAAGATGCATAACTATAGGAGTCATTTCCTCTGTCTTCAACCGGCTTTCTCTGTTTTCCCCAAAGTCCTGCGTCACTTTTTACTAGAATTTGTAATGGGACCCTGGCCGGTTTGGCTCAGCGGTTAGAGCGTCGGCCTGCGGTCCAGAGAGACCCGGGTTTGGTTCCTGCTAAGGGCACGGACCTCGGTTGCGGTTTGTCCCCGGCCCCGGCTGGGGTCGTGTGGGTGGCAGCCACTCCATGTGTCTCTCTCACATTGATGTTTCTCTCTCTCCTCCTCCCTGTCTCCCTCCTGCTCTATCTGAAGATAAATGCAACAATGTCCTCGGTGAGGATAAAATTAAAATACAAAAAAATAATTTTTAACGGCACTGCCCATTGTCAGTGTCCAGTTTGGAGTTTATGCGTCTGCTTCCCAACTTTCAGGCATCAGACCCAAAGTTCCCGAGGGTTCCAAACCGTGGGGTGGGGGGCGCCCAGAGGAGTCTGTGTGGCCTTAGACATGAAAAGTCTCGCGGGGGCGGGGGCCCCGCCGTCGTCATTGCCCGGCCGTGCTCAGCCACGGCCCTGGGGGGTCCGGGCCAGATGCTAAAAGGGAAGCATGTCCTAACGAGAGAGGGACTGAGCCCTGGCCACTCTCGTTCAGTGGTCAGAACGGCTGAGCCGTTTTCCTGCACAGTCGCGCCACCAGCCGCTGGATTGCTCGTCAGGAGCCCCTCTCAGCCCCCGGAACTGTGCTGGGACTCGGGGTGTTCCCAGGGGGGTGTTCCCCGGGGGCATGGCGTGGAGTCCCGCTGCCCGAGGTTGGAGCTCAGCCCCAGCCCCGTGAGCTGAGGGACGGGCCTGTCCGTTGTCCCGGGAGCTCTCGGGAGCTGCCCCGTGGAGGGCAGAGGAGGCAGCGAGGGCAGCCCTGCAGAGTCGTGGCAGATTGCGTGGATTCGTGGCGGATTGTGTGGATTCGTGGAAGCCCTTGAGCAGTGCCTGGCCAAGAGTAGGCACCGGCCGGGCTGGTATGTGGTTCTTATTATCACCGCAGTGGGCATAGCCCCGCACTAGACCTTTTAAAGATGCCAGGAAGGGTCTGTGGCTCAGGGGTTGAGCGTTGACCTTGCACAAGAGGTCGCTGGTTCGATTCCCAGTCAGGGCACATGCCCAGGGTGTGGGCCCGATCCCCGGGGGGGGGGGGCATGCAGGAGGCGGCCAGTCGATGTTCTCTCTCATCCATGTTTCTTTTTTTTTTAATCCTCACCCGAGGACACTTTTCCATTTTTTGCACAGATAGAGTGGGAGGGAGAGAGAGGAGGAGAGAGAGAGAGGGAAACATTGATGTGAAAGGGACACATCGAGTGGCTGCCACTCGCACGACCAACCAGGGCCGGGGACAAACTGTAACCGAGGTACGTGCCCTTAGCAGGAACTGAACCCGGGTCTCTCCGGACCGCAGGCCGACGCTCTAACCGCTGAGCCAAACCAGCCAGGGCTCATCCATGTTTCTATCTCTCTCTCCCTCTCAGTTCCTTTCTCTGTAAAATCGATAAAGGGAAAAAAAATTTTTTTTTTTAAATAAAGATGCGAGGAAGGTAAGAAATGGCCCTCGGTCTCCAGTGTGCTGTCCGTCCATCGGTCAGACACGGATGGAAGAGAAGGCAGGAGCCCGGGGTGGGGTCATCACTCAGGAAGAGTTAGGAGTTCTTGAGAGGCGTCACGGGGGCCCGGAACCCGGCGCTTCCCTGAGGGGGGCCAGGCCCGCAGCCACCTAGTCTACTCCGTCCTGTGATCTGGGGTTTTCCGGTCCCCACGGGCCAGAGACCTGAGGGGTGACAGCCCGCAGATACCACCCTGTGCCGTGTGGCTGAGACCCAGGGGGCGTCATTGGTTAACGCAGGTGGTTCGGGGAGGGGGTGCAGACAGAAACAACAGAAGGTATGGCCGATTACTAAGGCCTGTGCTTTTGTTCTCGGGGAGCGGGGGTGAGCAGCCCTGTGGGGAGGGCCTGGGGTCCCCTGCCAAGTTCATGTGTGTGGTTACCCCGTGTGAAGCCAGAGATGACTCTGTGTCGCTGAGTGTCGGAGGAGCGGTCGCCTCCTTCTCTGTGACGTGCACACACTGCACGTTTTCTGTACCCCTGTCCGCGGGCAGTGGGGAGGAACTGGTGGCCTGGAGGGGGGGGCTGGGCGGGGAGGCCCGGGGAGCTTGCTCCGGGGAACAGCGCCATCTGGTGAGCGTTCTGTTTATTGCAAAGCCTGCTGGTTGAGCGTGTGAGGCACAGGTGCAGTGGTGTGGAGTCTGATGGGAGCCGGGCCACGCGCTGCCCTCGTGTGGCTGGAGAGGGTGTTGCTCTGGGACGCGGGTGGGAGGGTGCACAGACCCCGAGGGCGCAGCTGCAGCCCACAGCAGGATGAACCCGTGGCAATGGGAACATGGTCAGGGGAGACGCCTTGGGAGCGGGGTTCCCGGGGCCCCCACAGGGGAGGCTGGCAAACACCGGAAGGGGAGCCACAATGGGCTGGTAATGCTGACAGAGCTGAAGGGGTCCAGCCTCGTGGGGTAACCATGTTCCACGCCTGCACGGTGGGGCTGCTGTAAATGGTTCTTGTGCAGCTCCCCGACCCCCAGAACTCCTCACCCTTTCTCTTTTGCCCCATCGATGGAAAATAGAAAGGGAGCCGGTTCAAAGCCACCGTGGGCGGGCCCCGGGCCCCACCCTGCCCTCGCCCGGGAGCCAAGCACACAGGCCCCCAGACCCCTTCGGCCTCCCCGCAAGGATCGCAAGCTCCCGTGCACCCCGGGCTGCCCCTGGACCAGCGGGGGATAATGATAATAAGCCCCGCCAGCCTGGGTGCCTGTTTGCGGGGGCCCCTGCCTCGGCCTAGACCCCAGACCTCCGGCGGTGGGAGCCCCCTCGCTCCCCTTGAGGACGGTCGTTGCAGGTTCCCGGTGGCCCTGGCCCCCACGTGGCCCCCACAGGCCCTCCGGACACGAAGCCCCGTCCTGACGTTTCTCCTGACGGTGTCTCCCAGGCCGTGCTGCCGGCCCTGTGCACTGCCCGGCGTGGCCGTCGTCAGCGGCTGGCGGGGGACGTGATGGGTGTGGATGTGGATGGGGGAGGGGAAGCCAGGGTCTCCCAACAAAGGGGGAAGGCCCAGCTCTTCCGTGAAACGAGTCAAGACCACACCGACGGGCCCAGAACAGCCTGTCTTAGCTCGGACGTCTGGCTGTGCGGACCACTCACCCGCCCCTTGCCGGCCGCCGTGTTTTCGGGGGTGGCCCGGGCCCCGTGTGCACCGCAGCTGGGCCCCGGCACCTGGAGACCTGAGTACTGCGCTCCTGGACCGAGTGGGGGGCCCGCGGGAAGCCTGGTGTCAGCTCCCCGCACAGGGACATTTAACCAGGGCAGACTGTTCCGCTTTGCTGTCACCCGCGTGAGCCGGCTCCACCCTGAAGGCTGTCTGTCCATCCTGGGCAGGCATGGGTCTCGCTGGGTCTGCATCTCCCCTGCCGCCCACTCCCCCCACACCAGAAGCCGGGCGGCGTCACGCAGCATCACGCACCTGAGCCCAGCGGTGCCCCCGCGAGGTCCGCGGCCGCGCCCCGCCCCCGTCCTGCCTGACCACCTGCCCTCCCGTCCGGCTGCAGGTTTCTCCCACTCGGCGTTCACGTTCGGTATCGAGAGTCACATCAGCCAGTCGAACATCAACGGGACGCTCGTGCCGCCGGCTGCGCTCATCTCCATCCTGCAGAAGGGGCTGCAGTATGTGGAGGCCGAGATCAGCATCAACGAGGTACGTGCACCCCAGGGGCCGGGGCCCGCCCCCCGCCAGCGCTGCCGCCCCGGACCTGACGACCTGACGGGCACAAGGGGGTTTGTGTTTTCGCTTTCCTGGGTGAGGGCTGGCGGTGCTGGGGGTGCACGGGCAGGGACCGCCGAGGCCCCGCACACACAGTGTTCTCCGCGTACACGCGTGGCTGGCCAGCTGCTGGCCCAGCGTCACGGTGTCACATGCGTCCCCGTCTCTGAAGAGACGTCTTCATCTGTGTTGTCTTTGGGGTGGGCATTCGACATGCCCGTGCATGGAAGAGGTGTTTCCTCCTGCTTTCCCTGAGCAGGCTGGCGACACAGGGACCCCGAGACACGCTCCAGTAGAAGCTGTCCTGTGAGCGAACCTGACAGGCGCCCTCAGAGCCTCGGGAAGGACAGGGATGGCTGTTGGCTCGAGAGCATTTCGAGGGACCGTCCGCTGGCCGTGCTCTCCAGGGTTGGTGGGGGAGCAGGACCGTAATGACAGACTACATAAAAGTCTGTCCTTGGCTCGTGTCCCTCCCTCCTTCCAGATGGGGCGCCGTGTGTCGTCGGGCCAGTTCGACACCAATGGGTGGTTTTAAAATTTTGGTTCTAATACAGCTCCTCTTGCCCGGGCGGTGTGGCTCCGTGGGTGGAGCGTGGTCCCAGAGATTGAGGGGTCACGGTCGGAGTCCCGTCAGGGCTCACGCCCTCGTTGCGGGGCCTGATGCTTCGTAGGAGGTGTGCGGGAGGCAGCCGATCCATGTTTCTCTCTCACATCGATGTTTCGATCTCTCGTAAAAAATAAAAAACAGCCCTGGCCGGTTTGGCTCAGCGGTTAGAGCGCCGGCCTGCGGTCCAGAGAGACCCGGGTTCGGTTCCCGCTAAGGGCACGGACCTCGGTTGCAGTTTGTCCCTGGCCCTGGTGGGTCGTGCGGGTGGCAGCCACTCGATGTGTCCCTTTCACCTCGATGTTTCTCTCTCTCTCTCCCTCCCACTCTATCTGAACAAAAAATGGAAAAAGATGTCCTCGGGTGAGGATAAAAAAATAAAATAAAAAACAACAACAAAAAACAGCTCCTCTCAGCCCCCCTCCCCTTCTGCTTTGCTCTAGGATTTTCCTGTGGGGCTGCCCAGGGCGTCCTGTGACCTCCACCTTCTCGGTAGCTCTGAACTGCAAGAGTAATGTGTCCCGTGTTCTGTTACATGCGTTCCTGTCAGAGGTTCGAAAACCCACATTGCGCAGGACACCTGACTTTCTGCTGACGTCTCTGTCTCTTTTTGTACCGTGAATGCCCGGGGGTCTTCACGGGCTCCTCGAGGCCCCTTCTAGTCCCTTCTTCTGCGGAGCACACAGCCCCCTCGGCAGCCCTCAGCTGGTGGGAGGCTGCGACTCAGTTTCCCCAACCCTCTCTTTTCCATCTGTGTCGGGAACCCTTCCTGCCCTCTCTTTTTCGGCAGTTCAAAGACCTAACACCCTGTCATTTAGGCTCGCCATCTTTAAAAGTCAGACCCACGCTTTTCGAGTTCAAACTAGATGTTTGGGTGGCTCTGGGCAGTTCCTACTTCTTGCAGAGTAGCCACCCTTCTGGGGTATGAATATGATGGAGGAAGGTGATGTGGACGTGTACTGACCAGTCCGTCTACGTCGGCCTGACCAGGGTGGGTGACAGGTGACTGGCTACTTTTTACATGTTTTGTGTTTGGTATTATTTGTCTGTTTCACATAGTGGAACCAGAAGTCAGCTGGGGGGACGGTTGGTTGAAAGACCGTAGCTGTGTCCGCAGCCCCGGTGTGTCCCTTGGCCCTTGGGTTTTGAAGTGATTCCCATTCGGAGCGCCCAGAAGCGGCCTCCGCGCCCAGCGGGCGGCCCGGGGGCCTTGCGTTTCGGGGGGCTGATGTTTGGAGCACTTGGTGAGGAGTCCCTTCTCCTGCATTGTCCGGTGCGCGTGGAAATCTGCTCCCTCCGCGGGAAGCAGAGGAGGAAAGGACCTCGAAGAACAGAGCATCTGAACTAAATGGTGCTGCCTTTGTGGGTGTCGATATGTTTACTGATTTGAGAGAGAGAGAGAGAGAGAGAGGGAGAGAGAGAAACACCAATGTGAGAGAGAAGCATACTTTTCGTATGTGCCCCAGCCGGGGACTGAGCCCACAGCCTAGGCATGTGCCCTGACCAGGGATCGCACCCACAGCCCGGAGGCATTCCCAGGGCGGCCGAGGTGCGTGCCGTTCAGTCCGATGGACAGCTGTGGTGGGGGTGACGTCCTCGTTGGTGCAGGCATCGCTCACTGGGCCGCAGGTTTCCGGAGACATGCTGTCCCACGCGAAAGGGGGTAGTTCGCCGAGGCGTTCCACGCTTGTGCCGGCCTCTGCGCAGGTTTCTCCGGCTGCGTGCGCTGGGCCTTTGGGGCCGGGTCTTTCTTGTGATGGCCTGTCCCGCGCACTGTAGGGTGTTGAGCAGCATCCCTGGTCTCCACCAGCGTCAGCAGCACCTCCTGTCTCCGCTGGGACAGTCAGAAAGGTCTTCAGGCACTGCCCAAGTCCCCTGAGGGGCACGCCCACCCCCAGAGTCATTGGCTCTGGAAGAGCAGCTTTTACATGAAATACGGTAGAAGAGTGCAGGTGGTCTTGATGCCCAAGCTCAGCGTGGTGGTATTTACCAAACATTGAGTCCCCACCCTGCCCTGTGCCCGTGCTCCCCCTGCTACCCCCGGCCCACCGCAGACGCCCGTGGCGTGGCCTTGGGGTGCGCAGGCCTGCCCAGGAGCCGCGGGCTGAGGGCTGTCCGTGGCTCCCCCAGGATGGCACGGTGTTTGACGGCCGCCCCATAGAGTCCCTGTCCCTGATCGACGCGGTGATGCCCGACGTGGTGCAGACCAGGCAGCAGGCCTTCCGGGAGAAGCTCGCTCAGCAGCAGGCCAGTGCGGCGGCCGCAGCCACGGCGGCAGCGGCGGCCACGGCGGCCACAGCGGCCACGGCAACCCCGGCAGCTGTTTCCCAGCCCAACCCACCAAAGAACGGAGAGGCCACGGTGAACGGGGAGGAGAACGGAGCACATGCGATGAGTAAGTACGGGGTCCCGGGGCTCGGGGAGCTGCTGGGGTCCCTCTGTCGTCTGAGTCCGGAAGGCCCCATCAGGACCTGCCCGCTGCACCCTCTCTGAGTTCCCTCCTTGTGTTTGCTGCCCTTCGGACACAGGGCTTCACGCCCCAGCGTTTCGCCAGAGACCCGGAGCCCCTGACTCGTGCGTCCTCAGTGGTAGGAAAGGGTGCTCCCCTGAGACTCCCTGCGTAGCAGGAGGCGCGCTGCGTGGTCACCGTCCCCCGGGCAGTGTTTCTTCGTGGCGGCCTCCGGTGCCATCGTCCGGCCTGCGTGGGGAGGGGTTGGGGCTGCATTCTGGTGTAACAGTCGAGGTCCTGGTCACTGAGTGGTCACCAGGCCTCAGGCGGTGGGCGCGGCCTTGCTTGGTCTTGGCAAGTGCCAGGAGGTCTGTCCGTGTAGCACGTGGCAAAGGGGTGAGAGTTGAGCTTTCATCCAGGCTCCCTGACTGCAGCTTCTCATGCTGCGTGTAAATTCATAGAGATTGCCTCAGGGTCTGCGTTCCAGGAGTGCATGTGCGTGTGTACATGTGCATGCATGCATATGCGTATGTATCATGCACATGAGTGTATGTATGTGTGTGTGCAGTAAGTGTGTGTATATCATGCCACAAATGTGTGTACATGCATGAGTGTATATGTGTGTATGTGTAATGCACACGGGAGTATGTGTGTGCGTGGGCAGTGTGTGTGTATATCATGCACACGAATGTGTGTACATGTGTATGTGTGCATGTATATTATGCATGTGAGTGTGCTTTTGTACGGGTACATGTGCACGTGGGCATGTGTGTGCATGTGTCCGCGTGGATGTGTGCACATGTATCGTGCAGACGTCTGTGTGTTTGTCCTCGGCTGGAATCTGTTTCCCATGGATCGGCCTTGCAGCCGCACCGTCCCTGAGGGTGCCGATGGCCACGTGTTGACATCTCAGCCTGTGGCCTCCTCACACACAGCTGGCAGCCACCTCAGAGGGGGCTGCGGCCACAGCCCGGCCCGTGGCAGGTTGTCACACGTGCACTCACGCGGGCGGAGTCTTCGGGTCTGTGGCGTGGAGCGGACGGCCAGAGCGCTGCAGACTGCCGCACGATAGGGTGACGCGGGCCCCCTGTCTAGGGAAGTGGGGAGACTCCCCTCCAGCGGCTCCAGAATCAAGTGCACACGGTTCCCGGTGCTGGGGGAGGAAAGGGGGTGGCGCGGACCCCAGGGCGTGGCGTGCAGCCCTCGGGTCTCGAAGATCACAGGAAGGACCCAGACGGCATCTTTTCCTGGCCTTGCCTCGCAGAAACGAACTTGCCACGGGCGAGCTTCGAGACGTCTGTGTGTCTGCCAGGACAGGACCTTCTCAAACTTCTGTTTCTTTACCGATTGATTTTAGAGAGAAGAAGGGAGAGAGAGAGAACATGAATGTGTCGATGTTCATTAATTGATTAACGTCACCGGTGGATGCAGTCATGGGTTGATTCTTGTCTGGGCCCTGGCTGGGGATTGAACCCACAACCTAGGTGTATCTGCCACTTGGGTGGGAACAACCATCTTTAAGATGATTCTCTTGGTGTCACTGAGTGTGGCTTGTCCGCTCCGTCCCAGGCCTGGCCAGGAACCCCGGGCCCGGCGGCAGGCTCCAACCCGGGTGGGCCTCCTCGGTTAGAAAGGCTCTTGGTTCTACTTGGCTTGAGACGTCTGAGGTGACGGTGGCCCCACTCAGAAAACCGCACTGGAGTCTCGAGAAAACACGGGTGTTCGAAGGCCGGGGGCGGGGGGGCATTCCGAGAGAGGGACGCCATCTGCCGTTCAGCTTCACAGGTGAGCTAACACCTGACACGGTGCCCCCAGAAACGCTGTGTCCCGCCGGAGCTCGGGCGCCTGGGGCTGTGCTCCAGCCAGCTGTCCGTGGTCCTCTGTCCACGCCTGTCCCTTCCCACGATCGTTAGACACTAGCTCGCACTTGCTTATGGACAACAAATGGCTGTTTCTACTCCTCTGTCAAATCTGGAATATTCGTACCATACAGGTGGGGCAAAAGCAGGTCACAGGTGTCCCTGGGGACATAACGCAGCCCTGGCTGGCGGCTCAGTGGTTAGAGCCCCGGCCCACGCACCAATGGGTCCCCAGTCAGGGGGCACGTACCTGGGTTGCAGGTTTGATCCTCCGGCCCCGTTGGGGTGTGTGCGGGAAGCAGGCAATTGCTGTGTCTCTCTCTCATCCATGTTTCTATTTTTCCCTCTCTCCCACCACCCTTCCACTTTCTCTACAAATCAAAGGAAAAAATCGATCCTCCGGTGAGGATTGACCAAAAGAAAACTTTAAACAATAATACAGTAGCGAATAAGTAATCACGGGAGAATAAACGTTTTGCTCGCTCCCGGCCGTAAACCTGCGTTCGCCCTCCCTGGGCGTGGGGAATAAACGAAACGTCGTCCCTGCGACACACCAGCCGGGGTTGGGCTGCAGTCATCAGACATGATACTGCGTAGAAAGAGGCTGTTTTTTGTTTTTTATCCTCACACGAGGACATTTTTCCATTTTTTGTTCAGACAGAGTGGGAGGGAGAGAGAGGAAGAGAGAGAGAGAAACATCGACGTGAAAGGGACACATCGAGTGGCTGCCACCCGCACGACCAACCAGGGCCGGGGACACACTGCAAGTGAGGTACGGGCCCTTAGCGGGAACCGAACCCCGGTTTCTCTGGACCGCAGGCCGACGCTCTAACCGCTGAGCCAAACCGGCCAGGGCGAAGGAGGCGGTTTTAATCGATGTTCTCTGTCATCGATGTTTCTATCTCTCCCTCTCCCTTCCTCTTTCTCTAAAATCAATAAAGAAAATAAAATTCTTTTTATTTTTATTTATTTATTTATTTATTTTTATCCTCACCAGAGGACATTTTTCCATTTTTTGTACAGATAGAGTGGGAGGGAGAGAGAGAGAGAGAGAAACATCGACCTGAAAGGGACACATCGAGTGACTGCCACCCGCACGACCAACCAGGGCCGGGGACAGACTGCAAGTGAGGTACGGGCCCTTAGCGGGAACCGAACCCGGGTCTCTCTGGACCGCAGGCCGACGCTTTAACCGCTGAGCCAAACCGGCCAGGGCGAAGGAGGCGGTTTTAATCGATGTTCTCTGTCATCGATGTTTCTATCTCTTCCTCTCCCTTCCTCTTTCTCTAAAATCAATAAAGAAAATAAAATTCTTTTTAAAAAGCCCAGCTGGTGTGGCTCAGTGGTTGAGGTCCACCCTGCACCAAGTAGTCGCTGGTTCAATGCCTGGTCAGGGCACATGCCTGGGTTGTGGGCCTGATCCCCAGCGGGGGGCCTGCAGGAGGCGGCCCATCGATGTTCTCTCTCATCGATGCTTCTCTCTCTCTCCTTTCCTCTTTCTTAAAGTCAGTAAAGAAAATGAAATTCGAAAGAGGCTGTTCATAGACCTGCAGGTACGGGTGACGCTTCTCCCGCGCGGGCCTCCATGTGTCTTCTCCCGTTTTCCACGACAGATAACCATTCGAAACCCATGGAAATCGATGTGGACGTGGAGATCCCACCCAACAAAGCCACGGTCCTTCGGGGCCACGAGTCCGAGGTGTTCATCTGTGCCTGGAACCCCGTGAGCGACCTCCTGGCCTCCGGGTAAGGACGCCAGCCGGGGGCGCCCCCTCCGCTCCGCGGTGCTGCCCGTGGGGCGCGCCCTCCCCTTAGCTGCCCGGGCACCGTCCCAGGGGTGCAGCCCGAGGCGGGCGCCCGAGCTGCCCTCCCTCCCTCGGGTGCCTCCGAGTGTGACAAGTGCTCGAGGGCACGGAAGAGGGTGGCACTGGGGACAGGAGGAGAAACCCGTGGGTGGGCTGAGAGCCGTGTGCTTCCGCCCACAGGTCCGGAGACTCGACCGCCCGCATCTGGAACCTGAACGAGAACAGCAACGGGGCCTCCACGCAGCTCGTGCTGAGACACTGCATCCGGGAAGGGGGGCACGACGTGCCCAGCAACAAGGACGTCACCTCGCTGGACTGGAACGTAAGCACCTCCAGCCAGGGCACCGGACATCTGGGCTCCGAGGTGGGCCCGGGGGTGCCGGGGGCTCCGGGGTGGGCCCGGGGGTGCCGGGGGCTCCGGGATGCCGGGGGCTCCGAGGTGGGCCCGGGGTGCCGGGGGCTCCGAGGTGGGCCCGGGGGTGCCGGGGGCTCCGGGGTGGGCCCGGGGATGCCGGGGGCTCCGGGGTGGGCCCGGGGTGCCGGGGGCTCCGAGGTGGGCCTGGGGGTGCCGGGGGCTCCGGGGTGGGCCTGGGGGTGCCGGGGGCTCCGAGGTGGGCCCGGGGTGCCGGGGGCTCCGAGGTGGGCCTCCGAGGTGGGCCCAGGGGTGCTGGGGGCTCCAAGGTGGCCCGGGGGTGCTGGTGTCATGGGCCTGTTCCTGAGCGCTACCTGGGCTGAGGCACACTGCTCTCTGGTGTTTCTGCTCCGTCATTTCATCACACACTGTCACTTCCTTCATGTAGAAACACGTTGAAAGCTCACTAAAGTCTCCAGTCTCTCACTACACGTTTCCGTGTGGTATTTCTCATGATGTCATCGGGGCGAATGGCCGCCCCAGGGTTTCCTTGTCCCCCCCCAGGTTTCCTTGTCTCCCCCTTGCTCCGCACGGCTTACATGTTCATAGAAGAGGTGTGGGGGTAACTCGTCATCGGGGTTGCTGCGTCTCTGAACTGGGGACCACGTGGATGTCGGGATGTTCTAGCCCTGGGGCGGGGGGCTCTCTTCGCGGTGTGGGAATGGCCCCCGCGAAGCCGACTCTGTGAGTCTGTTTCTTTCTGGCCCGCAGAGCGACGGGACGCTGTTGGCCACCGGTTCCTATGACGGTTTTGCAAGGATATGGACGGAAGACGGTGAGTCCTGCCGCCCTCGGCCTCGGCCGCGGCACAGCTGTCGTGGCGTGGGGTCGCGCTGCCAACGGGCCCCGGCGGCTCTGAGCTCGCTGTCTGCTCCCACACAGGTAACCTGGCCAGCACCCTAGGCCAGCACAAGGGCCCCATCTTCGCGTTGAAGTGGAACAAAAAGGGGAATTACATTCTGAGCGCAGGCGTGGACAAGGTGAGTATCCGCTTCACGTACCCCTTTGATCTGTCAGCGCCCGTTGGCTTTGGAGCCCTAGGTGACGTCGCGGAGCCCGGGAATCGTGAGGTCTTCTGCGTCCCCATCAGAAGTCGAGGCAACGCGGGTGGTGCTCGGTTTGCCCGGCGGCTGTGACCCGAGCGCTCGTGATGACACGTCATCTTCCTTTGTCATGCGGCCCCCAGGGCTTGGGCAGAGCGGCCCCCACTTCCTTGAGGTGCCTGGTCAGTTCAGCCTCAGCCAAAAGTATTCACCACCCAGCCCTGGGCCGACATACGTGTGCCGAACCCGCAACGGAGAACAGTCAAACCTCGGTTCTTGAACCAGAAAATGAGTCAGTTTACGGTTCGGAAAATTGTGCTTCGACTTCGGGGTTTTTTTGATGATGTTGTTGTTTTGCTTCGATTGCTGGTGAACTGGCGATTAGCACAATTTTAAAACATAAAGAGGCCGTCAGAGTGGCTGATGCCGCGAAGGGTGTGAAGGAAACAATGATCAAAGGCCGCGGAGGCGGTAGGAAAACTGTTGTGGGTTTGGATAAACAAAAGCAGTCAGCCAGAGACAGCATTTGGGAGGCAGTCACGCGGGAACAAGGCAGCGTGCCGCGTCCGGAAGCACACCCTGAGACCGGACAGGGAGCGGTTCCTCTAAGGCCAGCAGGGCGTGGTTCGATACATTTAAGAAAGCAGTGTTTGTTTCTAGATTAAGCAGTGCATTAGGCCTGTACTGTATATAAGAAAGGTTGGAACAGGGAATCATTTGGGGGGGTCTGAACTGAATTAATTCAGTTTTCATGATTTCTAATGGGAAAAAACATGATTCGGTTTTTTACTAACTCTCTACTTTTTTTTTATTTTATTTTTTTATCCTCACCGGAGGACATTTTTCCATTTTTTGTTCAGGTAGAGTGGGAGGGAGAGAGAGGAACAGAGAGAGAGAGAGAGAAACATCGATGCGAAAGGAACACATCGAGTGGCTGCCACCCGCACAACTGACCAGGGCCGGAGACAAACTGCAACCGAGGTACGCGCCCTTAGCAGGAACCGAACCCGGGTCTCTCAGGACCGCAGGCCGACGCTCTAACCGCTGAGCCAAACCGGCCAGGGCAACTAACTCTCTTCTTTATCCTTACCCGAGGACATTTTTCCATTTTTTTGTTCAGATAGAGCGGGAGAGAGAGAGGGGAAGAGAGAGAGAGAGAAACATCGATGTGAAAGGGACACATCGAGTGGCTGCCACCCGCACGACCAACCAGGGCCGGGGACAAACTGCAACCGAGGTACGTGCCCTTAGCGGGAACCGAACCCGGGTCTCTCTGGACCGCAGGCCGACGCTCAAACCGGCCAGGGCCTAACTCTCTTCTTGAACAAGCCTTCCGGAACGAGTTAAGTCCTGTGTAACCCTCTAGGTCAGTGAATGGTGCATTCTTTTTTTTTTTTTCCTTAATAATTTTCCTTTATTGATTTTAGAGAGAGGGAGAGAGAGAAACATCGATGAGAGAGAACATGGACTGGCCGCTTCCTGCACACCCCCCACTGGGGATCGGGCTCACAACCTGGGCCTCTGCCCTGACCGGGAATCGAACCAGCGACCTCTTGGTGCAGGGTCGATGCTCAGCCACTGAGCCCCACCGGCTCGCTCCCTGCAGCCAGTAAACACTTAGCTCAGACTTGGCCGCCTCAGGTCTAACATAAACATCTGAGAAGCGGTGGATGACCCACCAGATAGAGGCTCTCGTGAAACTACCATGAGTTTTCGCCGAGGGGCCCTACGTCACAGGTTCCCCCCACACACCCCTGTGTCTTGTACCTGGCTGGCCGTCAGCACTGCTGATGGAGCTATTCAGATACTTTGTGCGAATGATCAGGAACCTAACGAGCACTTTGCCGCCTGTGTCGGTCCATTTAGTGCTGCAGGGTAGGAGGCAGGCACTTGGACCCGGGTCCCGGGTCCCGGAGAGGCGTGTGGACTTGCCTGGGCACACTGATGTGGCGTGGGCGAGGGTTGGAAGTGGGCCCTGGGTCCAGCCAGCATTGAAACTCTTCGTCTTCGGGTCATCACTTTATTGGTCCGCCACGGCAGAAATAACAACCTTCAGAAAGTCGAACCCCGGGAGGAAGTGTAATTTACGGGCATGCGTTGGCCTCCATTGGGAGCGTCCCCGGAGGGGCCCAAGGGTATTTCAGATTCGGAAAAGCCCCCGTGGAACTCATGCTGTGTGCAGCGTCTGTGTAACGTGAGCATCCGATCACGGTGCGGTGACCCGTGCAGTGGGGGAACTGCGTCCGAATCGGGAGTAGATGTCCCCTGCAGCCCCAGCTTGGTTTGTGAGTGGGTGAAGAAAAGGGTGGACCCACCAAACAAAGGCACAAACGATGGTCATTGGCCTAGAGCGGACCTGAAACGCAGAGCATCAGGTTTCAAACCCACCCACTGCTTTGCGTATTTCCTCTGAAATTGCCTACGACCGGCCGGCGTAGTGCATCACCAGTTCTGTGTACACGAGCTGTGGGGTCCGCGGCGGCAGCGTAGCGCATCACCAGTGCTGTGTACACGAGCTGTGGGGTCCGCGGCGGCGGCGTAGCGCATCACCAGTTCTGTGTACACGAGCTGTGGGGTCCGCGGCGGCAGCATAGCGCATCACCAGTGCTGTGTACACGAGCTGTGGGGTCTGTGGCGGCGGCGTAGCGCATCACCAGTTCCGTGTACACGAGCTGTGGGGTCCGCGGCGGCGGCGTAGCGCATCACCAGTGCTGTGTACACGAGCTGTGGGGTCCGCGGCGGCGGCGTAGCGCATCACCAGTTCTGTGTACACGAGCTGTGGGGTCCGCGGCGGCGGCGTAGCGCATCACCAGTTCCGTGTACACGAGCTGTGGGGTCCGCGGCGGCGGCGTAGCGCATCACCAGTTCCGTGTACACGAGCTGTGGGGTCCGCGGCGGCGGCGTAGCGCATCACCAGTGCTGTGTACACGAGCTGTGGGGTCCGCGGCGGCGGCGTAGCGCATCACCAGTTCTGTGTACACGAGCTGTGGGGTCCACGGCGGCGGCGTAGCGCATCACCAGTTCTGTGTACACGAGCTGTGGGGTCCGCGGCGGCGGCGTAGCGCATCACCAGTTCCGTGTACACGAGCTGTGGGGTCCGCGGCGGCGGCGTAGCGCATCACCAGTTCCGTGTACACGAGCTGTGGGGTCCGCGGCGGGGGTGCGCGGGTTTCTGTGAAGTCGGTGGATCGAGATGGGTTCCCAGTGATTTCACCGAGCGGCCCCCGGCTGCTTCCCTGTCTCCCAGCACCAGTAGGTTCGTGAGAACCGATGGTTGACTTTGTTTTCCGGGGAAACGGTCATTTCCCGCAGACTTACAGACCCGTGGGTGGTGCCTCCCCCAGTGCGACTCGATTGGTCCGCCGTGTCTGCTGTCCCCGGTTCAGGGCGCGAAGGACGGTCAGGACGGTTTTCAGAAACGCCTTTTCCTTCTTTAGCCCTTCGCTTGGAAAAGACACTTAGATAAGCTTTAGTGATGGGGGAGGGGGACCCCCACGGAGATCAGTCACCACGGCTGGGGCTCGTGGCATGGCCTCCAACCCGCGTGCCGGGGAATTGTTACACAGGGAACACACTGGCTTCCACGGACCTCGACCAGAAAGACTGCCGAGTATCTCATGAACAGATACATGTTGATCGCATGTTGAAACAATGTTTCAGCCATACTGGAGTGAACTAAAATGTGTCATTAAAATAGTTTTAACAGTTTCTTTTTTTTTTGGTTAATGTTCACCTGAGGATATTTTAATGCTGCCCGTCAGAGAGAGTAGCAGGGAGGGAGGGAGGGAGAGACATGGATGCGTGACCGCCTTCACGTGCCCTGATCGGGTTGGGGAACGGGGAATTGAACCCACAGCCCTTCAGTTCGTGCGCCGATGCTCTAACCACTGAACACATGGCCAGGGCTCATTGGAGTGCTTCCTAGGAAACAGCCCCTGTGTGGTCACTTCCTGTCCGCTGGGCAGAGCGGGCACAGAGAAGGGCTCATGCCTCGTCTGCGGTGCATTCTTCCAGAGCAGACTCGGCGAGAAGGGTGGTCACTAACGTTGTCTTTCTGTTTGCGGGCACAGACGACCATAATTTGGGATGCGCACACGGGAGAAGCCAAACAGCAGTTTCCGTTTCATTCCGGTGAGTCTCTGTCTTTGTTTCGTAATTCGAAGGTCATAACCCCGGGTCCCTGAGAAGTGCCCCGTGAGGGAACGTTGACTGCTCAGAGGGCTGTGTCCCTGGGTGGAGCTGCCAGAGGAGACCCACTTTGTGGTGGGCACTGCCCTTGCGTTTACAAGGGGTACATTGCACAGCATCGGAACGTCAGGAACACTGCGGGGAACCGGTCCTGAGTCCAGTGTGGCCGCCTTTCTCCTGCAGGCCCCCGGGGGCTGTGCTGGGGTCCCCGAGACCCTGGCCAGATCCGGAGATTCACAGCTCAGGTTTATCCCAGCAAAAGGACACAGGGCAGAATCAGCCAGGGGGAGAGGCACAGGGGGGCCCAGTGCTTCCTGGGATCCTCTCCCAGGGGAGTCCCCTGGGGCGGCCAGATGCCCCCAGCAGCAAGGTGCGACAGTCCGAGTGAAGGGTAGTCCTCCAGGGGCGCTGGCTGGAGCCCGATGTCGGGGTTTAGTCGCGGGCTGTCCTGTAGGCACTCTGCCTGGCTTGTACCAGACTCCAGGCTCCTGGAAGGAACCCAGCATCCGCTACATCTGTGCGTTTAGGTACAGAAGAGAAGTTAGGCATCGGTTAGGGAATGCTGGGAACCTTCCAGAAACCTAGTGCCCAGATGCAATCCAAGGGAGTAGGGTCAGCCCTGCGGCAGAAAGTCTTTCCTGTGTGTGTGTGTGTGTGTGTGTGTGTGGCTGCTGGTGTGGCCCTAGCCACGGCCCTTTGTGTGTGGGGCAGCGAGGGATCCGGAGACCAGTTTGCACCTGCTCCCCGACGTCTGTGACTCAATCCTGTCATTAGAGGCAGGAAAACAGAGACAGTGACCACCCTTGAGAGTCCGTGAGCTCTCAGGAGATACGTCATGTGTCCCTGCCCCGGGGCTCACAAGGGGCAGTGTCTTCCTGACGGATGTGTGCGTGCGTCAGGTGGTGTGCATGTGTGTGTCGGGTGGTGTGTGCTTGTGTGTCGGGTGCGCATGCGTGTGTTGGGTGGTGTGTGCTTGTGTGTGTCACATGTGTGTCGAGTGGTGTGTGCATGTCAGGTGGTGTGCATGTGCGTCGGGTGTGTGTGTGTCGGGTGGTATGTACATGTGTGTTGGGCGGTGTGTGTTGGGTGGTGTGCGCGTGTGTGTCGGGTGGTGTGTGTGTATCGGGTGGTGTGTGTATCGGGTAATGTGCGTGTGTGTGTGTGTTGGGTGGTGTGTGTACGTGTGTCGGGTGGTGTGCACATGTGCGTGTGCGTCGGGTGGTGTGTGTGTGTATGTCGGGTGGTGTGCACGTGTGCGTACATTTGTGTCGGGTGGTGTGCGTACGTGTGTGTTGGGTGGTGTGCGTGCATGTGTCGGGTGGTGTGTACGTGTGCGTGTGTCAGGTGGTGTGTGTGCGTGTGTCGGGTGGTGTGCGCGTGTGTCGGGTGGGGTGCGTGTGTGTGTGTGTGTCTGGTGGTGCATGTGCGTCGGGTGGGGTGCGCGTGTCGGGTGGTGTGCACGTGTGCGTGTGTGTCGGGTGGTGTGTGTACATGTGTGTCGGGTGGTGTGCACGTGTGCGTGTGTGTCGGGTGGTGTGCACGTGTGCATGTGTGTCGGGTGGTGTGTGTACATGTGTGTTGGGTGGTGTGCACGTGTGCGTGTGTGTCGGGTGGTGTGTGCGTACATGTGTGTCAGGTGGTGTGTGCATACATGTGTGTCGGGTGGTGTGCACGTGTGCGTGTGTGTCGGGTGGTGTGTGTACATGTGTGTCGGGTGGTGTGCACGTGTGCGTGTGTCGGGTGGTGTGCCAGAGACTGTGGAAGGCGGGCAGGGAGTGAGCTCTGCAGGCGGGGCGCAGGCACGAGGGCTGTGGGAGTCCTTCCGGAGCCTTGAGAACTTCTCTGCCGGGCTCACCGGAGACAGGGCCTGGCGGGGTCGGTTCCCCCCCGCGGGCCTGCTGGGCACCCTCGGTGGCCGTGGGCAGGAAGCGTTGGCTCCGAGCCAGGCTGTGGAAAGCCCCTCAGCCCGGGAGGAAAGGCAGCCCTGGTGCGCGTTGATGACCCAGGGTGGCGTGGGGAGGTCGCGCAGGCGCCGGGCTGCGGGGACGGCCGCCCTCAGAGGCCGCGGGCTGCACAGCTCCATCCGTGTGACACTCTGGGGATGACGGAGTTGTGGAAATGAACGGGGCTCGAGCCTGAGTCCGGGGGGCGGGGAGGGCCGTGGGGGCTGAGTGTCAGAGGGACACCTTTGTGCACGTCGGCGTGTGGCGGTCCCACATGGGGCCCCCGTGGTAAAGGACACTGTACCCATGTCAGCACCCTGGTCTTGACGTCCTACTTCAGGGCCAGGAAATGCAACCCCTGGGGAGCCGGCTGAAGGGGCACGGCCTCTCCGTCACCTCCACTTCCTGTACTCCGGAAGCATTCCAGAGTTGGAAATTGGGGGAAAGCAAAGAACAGCCCGGCCGAGCCCAGAAGGGTGCTGACTCGAAGCCGGCCCACGGTGGGCAGGGAGGGCGTGCAGACCCGCAGGTGGCTGAGCCTGTCCCTGTCGGGCACCCACACTGAAGGCCGAGGTTGCCTGGGGGACCCCCAGGGTCCTGGTGGCCGACTCAGAGCGGGGCCAGCACCGGAGTGCAGAGGGCCCCCTCTTCGGATGATAAGGGCCAGCAGGCACCCCCGGGTACAGCCGGTGCGGCCGCCTCCCAGCTGGCCCCCTTCCGAGCGTGCTGAGGCTCATCTGGGCTGCGCTGGCTGCCCCGGCATCCTCCACGTGGCTTCCCCGTGACCCACGGGTCCTGCTTCTGTCCAAGCTGATTGGTTCCTTCCTTCCTTCCGCTGGGCACCCGTGGGCCATGTGCCGGGAGCCCGGGGCCGCATGAGACACGCCCTGGGGTGGGCCACGGAGGGAGGCCTGTGGCTGCTGAACACGCCAGGGCCGACCCAGCCACATCCTCCCACCCACAACTTCCACGCGGGCCTGCCGTGGACGTGGGAGCTACGGGCCCGTCCCTGCGGTTACGCAGCTCTGGACAGTGGACACGCGGACGGGGTGCCTCTTGTTTAACGCCTGCGGGAGGAGAGGGGACTGATGTTGGCGTGGCCCGAGGCAGCCAGCGCTCCCCACACGGCCCTGCTGACCTGCTTCTGGGAAGCCCACAGGGACTCGGAGAGGGACTCGGCGGATGGGAACCTGGGAGCAGGGCGGGCAGGAACCTCACCCTCTGCTTCTGCCAGCGAGGACGGCTCGGGAGAGAATGAGCATGCCGAGTAGGCCAAGGGAGGTCGGGGCAGTGAGGGGGGCGCCGTGACGGGGGGCTTCACCCACAAAACCCTCAGCCACCTGGACCCGAGAACACTCACAGGGGCCAAGTGTGTCCCCAACGGTCCTTGTAAACTCTTAAGTACCTTTCAACTATTGGGGTGTGGTAATGTGTTCTGTGACTGTTTATTTTTTAAATATTTTTCTTTATTGAGTTTAGAGAGAAAGGAAGGAAGAGGGAGAGAGAGAGGGAAACATCGATGAGAGAGAACATGGACTGGCCGCCTCCTGCACGCCCCCCACTGGGCATCGGGCCCACAACCTGGGCATGTGCCCTGACCAGGAATCGAACCGGCGACCTCTTGGTGCAGGGTCGATGCTCAACCCCTGAGCCACAGTGGCCGGACCCTGTGAGGTTTTTTAAATTGGGATATCCTGAACATAGGGCATGAAATTGCTTCCCTCTCCCTTTCCGTCCTGCGTCTGTAACACACGTACCTCAGCCCGCCACAGCGGTCCGCCCGGACGCAGCCAGGGGCAGAGGCGGGGGCTCCCGCTGCTCACCTGCCCTTTCTTACCTGTGCCAGGCGGCCAGCCTCGGCGCCCTGAGCACGTGACGCCTCGGGGGGGGGGGTCTCTGCAGAGCGTCCGGTCGTCCCTTCAGATGCAGGCGGCGTCCTGTGTGGGCCGAGGCTCTGTGCACACGGGGAACCGCCGTTTGTGTCGTGTGACCAGATCAGCCTCTGGGACTGTGCTTGTCGTTGCGCACGCCCGAGCTGTGTGCCCAGGTGGCCAGTGCAGCCCTCTGCTCCTGCCCACAGCGCCCGCCCTGGACGTGGACTGGCAGAACAACACGACCTTCGCGTCCTGCAGCACAGACATGTGCATCCACGTGTGCAGGCTCGGCTGCGACCGCCCCGTCAAAACCTTCCAGGGACACACGGTGAGTGCCCGTCCTGGTGGCGGGCTCGCGTTCCTGGGCGCGGGCCCAGCCGGACGGCCGACCAGTTCATCCCCAGCCTTCTGCTGCCGGGGCTGCCGTAGTATCTCCGGTCGGTGGATGAACCCAGTTCTGGGCCTGCAGCGGAGAAGACACAGAGCCTGAGACGAGCCCGATGTTGTATGTTGGAGGAAAGACTTAAAGTAGCTACCGGGCAGATGCATGAGGACATAAAGGAGAGGCTGCTCGGAATGAGTGGACAGATGGGGAATGTCAGCAGAGAAAGGAAAACTATATCCTTACAAAGCTGTCAGGTGGCAATCTCAGAACGAGGACGTAGTGTCTGAAATAAAAATCTCTGCGGGCGGGTTTAACGGCAGACTGGAGATGACAAACGAAAGGCTAAGGCATCTGAAGGGAGATCGTAGGCGTAGCCAATGTTCCTGAAGTTGGTGGGAAATGTCAACACTCAGTCCAGGAAGGCCAGGCGCCGGCTGGCTTTTCATCGAAGCTCTTAGTGTGACACCTGAGGCTCGTCGTGGCCTCGCAGGAGCAGACCCTGTGGTGGCCGAGACCCCGGCAGCTCAGCACCCTGGGCGTCCTGCTGTGTTTGAACCCCTCACACCTGCAGCGTGCCCACACCCGACTCTCGCCACACCCCTTCCTACAAACAGGACTCACACGTTTCCTTGTCCCCGGCTCCTGCTTGCTGGACCCTTTCCGACTTTTGTCCCCACGGGTCCCTGCTTCTGAAAGATGCTGTTTGGACCCGGATGCCAGTTGTCCTGTTAGGCATCCCGTTGTGGCCATAAGCTGAGCCTTCTCTTTATTTTTATTATGTTTAAAATTTTTCCAGTCTAAGCTTGTTTGTCCTCGAACCCTGGACTGTCCCATGCTTTTACTAGAAGCCTTGCTCCCACCTTTGTTCCTGAGTGCGCCGTGCCTGGCATGCCGTCCCCACCCCCAGGCTGCCGTGTCCTTAAAACCTGTGGCCCCTTCTGTCTTGCCTGCGGGCTGTTTTCTTTTTCCTTTATTGATTCTAGAGAGAGGAAGGGAGAAGGAGAGATAGAAACATCAGTGAGAGAGAACATGGACTGGCCGCCTCCTGCACGCCCCCACTGGGGATGGGCCCACAACCTGGGCATGTGCCCTGCCCGGGAATCGAACCGGCGACCTCTTAGTGCAGGGTTGATGCTCAACCCCTGAGCCACACTGGCCGGGCATCCCGCGGGCTATATTTTTCTTCATCCTCCAGGATTTAGCCTCAGGGTCACCTGGTGCCTAGACCAGGGTGACTATGAATAGACTCTGCATAGATGATGGCGTGCTCCTGCCCCCTGCTGGACAGTCCTGGTACCTACTCAGGCACCTGTATTTCTTTGTAAAATCCTTGCCTGTCTTTCAGAACGAAGTCAACGCCATCAAGTGGGATCCTTCGGGGATGTTGCTAGCGTCCTGCTCGGACGACATGACGTTAAAGGTAACGGGGCCCAAAGGGGTGGGCTGTTCGTCCGAGACTCCCCCGTGTACTCTCAGGGTGTGTGCTCTGTTCTGCTGCTCTGGCTGGTCGTTGTATAACAAACACGTTTCCCCTTGCACTAAGTTCTCCCCGCTGGTGACTCGATGACTCGCTGTCACTTGGTTAACGCCTGTCGGTCATTCGAGGATCATGCTGAGAGCCTCCCCTTCCCCGTGGCCTTCCCACCAGCACCCAGGACGTTGTCCCGTCCCCGGCCTGGGCAGCGACCCGCCGGCCGGCGAGCTCTCGGGGGCCCCAGACTGACCAGTGCTCACAGGACGCCTGACGTTGAACCGATCCTGGCTGGAGAAACAGCTTTGCTGACGTGATTCCCACTGTGTCCTCTAGATCTGGAGCATGAAGCAGGACACGTGTGTCCATGACCTGCAGGCTCACAGCAAAGAGATCTATACCATAAAGTGGAGTCCGACCGGGCCGGCCACCAGCAACCCCAACTCCAACATCATGCTAGCAAGGTAGAGGGGAACGCTCACTCCCAGCGCGGTCTCGCGCGGCCCTCGGGCGGCCCTGCTCACGGTGGCTGTGAAATTATTTTATCAGCGGGGACAGAAAAGTTACCCCGTGAAAGTTATGGCCAGGAGATGGTACTTGTATCGAGGGAACAGGAAGAGCTGAAGGTGCCGCTCGCGGGGGTACCATCGCATGTTTGCCTGTGCTTGTATTTGAATTCCCATTGCATTAAACTTTTATTCTCTTAATTTGCCATTTTCCCATATATTTCGGTTGGTAACGAAAAATGTTGTGTTTTATTTATTTTTAATTTTTTTTTTAACCCTCACCTGAGGATATTTTTTTCCATTTTTTTTGTTCAGATAGAGGGGGAGGGAGAGAGAGGGAGAAACATCGACGTGAAAGGGACACATCGAGTGGCTGCCGCCCACATGACCAACCAGGGCCGGTGACAGACTGTAACCGAGGTACGTGCCCTTAGTGGGAACTGAACCCGGGTCTCTCTGGACCGCAGGCCGACATTCTAACTGCTGAGCCAAACTGGCCAGGGCTAATATGTTTTTATTAACTTTTTAGAGAGAGAGGACGGGAGAGAGAGACAAACATCCATGAGAGAGAGAAACATCCATCAGCTGCCTCCTGCACGCCCCCTACTGGGGATGGAGCCCGCAACCCAGGTATGTGCCCTGAGCCAGAATCCAGCCCGGACCTGTCGGTGCTCAATCCACTGAGCCACACCAGCCGGGCAAAGGTTGTGTTTAAAATTGTAGGAGCCAGGCCCTGGCTGGTTTGGCTGAGCAGTTAGAGCGTTGGCCTGTGGCCCAGAGAGACCAAGGTTCGGTTCCCACTAAGGGCACGTACCTCAGATGCAGTTTGTCACCAGCCCCAGTTGAGATCGTGTGGGTGGCAGCCAGTCAATGTGTCTCTCTCACGTCAATATTTCCCTCTCTCTTCCTCCCTCTCTCCCTCCCGCTCTATCTGAAGATGAGTGCAAAAATGTCCTCGGGTGAGGATAAAAAAATAACATAAGATAAAATTGCAGGAGCAGTTTAGAAAATGTAATGGATTCTACAGACATATCTATTGTGCGTGTATGTACAGGAAATGCAGAAACAAATGGACATGGAATCAAGGTTTCCCCAATAACAGCACCGAAAAGAAGAGACAGCAAGCAGGGGTTGGTTTTATACGTATGACTTTGTTGGCAGCGTATCGCTGTCACGTTTTAGATGCGACAGAGCATCTCTGCTGTCTCTGGAGCCATAAAGGCTGCACAAGGAAAATCGTGCATGATGTGTTACGTGTCTGTGGGACGGAGAAGAACCCCTGTGTGTCTGTGTTGGTTTCCTCCCGCCTTCCTAGTGCTTCGTTCGACTCCACGGTCCGCCTGTGGGACGTGGAGCGTGGCGTCTGTATCCACACGCTCACCAAGCACCAGGAGCCTGTCTACAGCGTCGCTTTCAGCCCCGACGGCAAGTACCTGGCCAGCGGCTCCTTCGACAAGTGTGTGCACATCTGGAACACTCAGGTAACCCCGATTCCTGTCTCCGAGGGACGCCCAGAGTCACGTCTGGTGACCCGGGCTGCAAACAGCAGCTGGGGCGTGTGCGGTGGGGACGGTGCGCTCAGACGGAGCCGCAGCCAGCAGACTCCCCAGGGGACCCTCTGTCCTGTGCTCTCTCCTCTTGAGGGGAGAGAGAAATGGTCAGAGCTGCTGCAGATAGCCAGAGACCCATTTTCTGTGATCTTGGGATGGATTAAATGGCCTGGGGCCCCCCTTCTAATGCATCCTCCTTCCTGGTTCTCTGGCTGAGTTGACCTTTCCGCACGTGTGTAGTGAGCCACGCCCCCTTGTGGCAAGGGCTGGTAGTGCACAAGCCAACTTAACCGCCCTGGGGCAGAGGTCCACTGAGACCTCAGGCTTCCCCGGGTCGGCCTCATACAAACTACATCTTCTTGGGGCGGGAGAGGCGAGCGCGGGCCCTAAGTGGAAGCAGCCTGCTGCCCCGCAGATGGGCCACCCAGGGAACATGCAGCCCGGGAAGAACATGCTCAACTGTCCCTTCACGAGGTGCTCCCTGGACACGGTGATGGGTGGATTCGTGAAGGGACAGCATCGAGCAAGGGCATTAGGTACTTCCTGCCCGCTGTCAAGAACCTGCCACACGATCTCACTCGTTTTTTATAAATCCCAGATCTCCTTGACCCTCGGGGAGAGGGTGCCTTCCCGAAATACAGAAATCTACTTCATGTTGTTGACGTGCTTCCTCCCCGGTTCCCCGCCTCCTTAGCGGGCTCACCACCCCGTCCCTGGCTGGGAGTGGCCCTCGGGAGGCCTGTCCTGGCCGGACCGTAGAGGCGGGTCCCGCAGGTTGTCACGGGTCAGCCCCCTGGTGGAGTCTGAGAGGCGCGTGCACAGCCCCAGTGTGGCCGAAGGTCCTTTTCCCTCCTGTGGGTTTGAGTTTCGGTGCTGCCGCGTGGGGGCGGGGAGCGGGACGTGCCCTCCCCCTCCCCCGTGCTCCCCGGGGCCCTCGCGTCACGGGGACTGCTTTGCCTTGCAGAGTGGGAGCCTCGTCCACAGCTACCGCGGCACGGGCGGCGTGTTCGAGGTGTGCTGGAGCGCCCGGGGAGACAAAGTGGGCGCCAGCGCTTCCGACGGCTCGGTGAGCGGCCCCGGGTTTGCGGGGTGCAGGGGGCGGGCGGAGCGGGGAGAAGCCGGGCAGCTGTGCCGAGAGCCAGGCCGAGAAGCTTGTTCCTGTCTCAGCCCCACATTCGCGCCCCGCCCTGGAAAGGCAGGACGTGGGCTGCACAGGATCCTGGGCCCCGGGCACCTGTGGTGACCCCAGGAGGGTCTGGCTGTTTGGTGGCCCCTGCACTTCGGGTTGCCGTGAGCTCGAGGCCGAGCGTCTGTGTAGCCCCAGGTGTCCTCAGAGGCCGTGAGCTCAGGCTTGTGTAGCCCTCTGCTCTGCCACCAGGTGCGTGGGCCGCTGCCACCTGCTCACGGCTGCCGCCACCTTGCTCGTTCCCGGCTGTGCCCTTGACCTGCTGTCCCTCTGTGCTAGTGACTGCAGGGGTGGGATGGGGTCAGAGGCCCAGCCGCCCACTAGCCTGTTGAACATCTGAACGTTCCTGACTGTGTGCCAATACAACTTTATCCATAAACCATCCCTGGCGGGCCTGGTGCGCCCTGGGCTCTGTGGTTGGCCAGCCTGGCCCTGCAGCCGTCCTGGCATGAAGGTGACAGGCTCTCTCCTTGCAGGTGTGTGTCTTGGATCTGCGGAAGTAAACCAGTCTGCGGGAGCGGAGAGAGTTCCGACGGACCGGCGTGGGCGTGGGCGTTTTGGCACCCGAGACTCGATCCTGTGGGCTCCCACCCGTGGCGGCCGGGCTCGTGGGCGTGGACTTGGAAACCAACCCATCCCCGGCCACGGGAGCCTGTTTTGTCATAGTCCTCATCAAAACGTTTCAAACACACACACACAGTCCTATCAGGGGGGGAACGGTTTCCACCGGGGACATCAGCTTAGAGAGAGCGGAGCCACCCACCGGACGCTGCGCCGTTGGTCCCCCCAGACAGGCTCCGAGGACTGCGGAGGGAGGGGGACAGCTGCGCCAACACCGAGGAAAAGAGGAAAATGCCGTGATAAACCAGAAGGGGTGGAAAAGGTGTCCTCTGCGTGCTGCCTTGCTCCCCAACAGGGCGGTCACCGCGGTTGCCGCGCGAAGGCCGCGCGCAGACCAGTCTGCAGCGATGAGATGCGCCACCTCGGGGTCCCGACGCGGTGCGTGTCCTGCGGCCTCCCTTGTGCGGGGGCTGTTCTGCCCACGGCAGTCCTGTCGTGGGGGCGAGGGGGCCGGTTTCCTTTGATCACCGCCCCTCCCCCTGTTTCCTCCGACCGCGTGTGGGTGTAGAGTCAGCCTCCAGGACACCGAGGACACCGGGCAAAGTCTGCCGCAGTTTGCCGGCCCCGCCCCCTTCCCGCCCCATCCCCCCTCCGCCCCCCTCACTGGTCCCTTTACGCCCCTTCCAGATCTTAGGTCTCAAGGGCACTGTCGGCGCGAATCAAGTGCTTTATGGAGGAAGGCAGGGCAGGGGGACTTTTTACAGGAGAAAAAAAAAATGACTTATAAGAGAAAGAGCCTGGAGTATTTTTGGAAAAAAAAAATATTTTTATGTTAAAACGATTTTAAAATCCTAAAATGGCCATCAGACATAGAGAGCTCTGTGTGGTTTCGTATTTTTAAAAGATTCTAGGAAGACACGCGCGGGCGTGCGGGGGCGGATCCCGTTGCCTGCGGCCGCGGGCGGGTGGGGCGCTGGCGGGCAGCACCAGGGGGCGCAGCGGAGTATCCTCCGGGCCGCAGGGCCCCGCCCTTGGAGGAGGGCGGGGCTGCACCTCTGGGTGTCCACCTGGGTGGCCGCAGGAGGGACATGAAGGCAGCAGCGGACCCCAAGGGGCATGCCCCACACCCAGCGGTACGGAGCCAGCCGTGGAGGCAGCTCGGGGCCCCGCTGGTGGCGAGTCACTCACAGGACGCTCGTGCCCCAGGAGCACCTGGGTGAGCCCTTGCACAGCTCCCCTGGCGGCTTCCGGGTCTCACCTGGCCGGACAGCGACAGACACCAACGGGGAAGGACAGCCCTTCAAGCCGAAAGGGAGTGAACGGTCGAAGGTCACCCATCCCTTCGACCGTCTCCAAGGGACTAGGTTTTCTTTTTTTAATACTGAATCTTTTTACTGTTTTTTAAACAATTAAACATGGCTTTGTGTTCCTACGGGAGTGTCCTTTCGTAGGATCGGGTGACCTTGTGCTGTCTTACCCCGACACGGACCTGTGTTCGAGATTCGCCCTGGGAGAAGGACCGTGGCTTATCCCGTGGGCACAGCGAGGGACGAGGGACGGGAGGGGGCCGCGGGCAGGCTCCGCCGCCTTGTCCCAGCTCCGCCCGGTGCTATTCCGAGGATGGCTTCTGTCTGCGGAGCTGAACGTGGATGGTCAGGGCGGCGAGCGCGCCCAGGCCCCGCCGTACCTGAGCCCCCGGCACTGGGCGCCCCTTGGAGACGCGAGTTCCTGAGTCCCCACCCGAGAAGACCAGAGAGCGCTGTTTACGTCTTGGGTGTTTTCTTTGGGCTCTGTGACCTGGTCCTCGGCGAAGGTCAAAAGTCCACCACTGTCCCCTCGCAAATGGAAACGTGCTCGAGTCTACAGGGTGCGCTGCGGAGGGTCGGCCTGGGCCGGACCCGTCGGGCGCCTCGGGGCGCACGGTAAGAGCTTCAGGAGACAGTCCTCACAGGGAAGGTCGGCAGCCAGGGTCTAGGTGACCGCGTGGCCACTTGATAGACCGGAGCCTCTTGGCCATGTGAGGTCGGAGCCGAGGGGCGTGAGGCCGCGCACCACACCGGCTCCGTGGCGGCCACGCGGGGACCCGGCAGTGTGAAGGCGGACTGTCCACGTCTCTGGTTCCGGATCGCTGGCCACCACTGAGAGCCTGCCGAGGCCACGGGGACCAAGTGGGAGACTTCACCGCGACCTCGAACCATCCCCGAGCGGGCACGGGGACAGCCTCTGTCCAGCGCTCGCGCCGGGAGCATGTCGCCGGGAGCAGGCCGCCTGCGGGACCCAGGGGCCGCGCGTACTGTGACTGCCCTTGTTTACAGCTCTTAGACTTTGTGGGGGATGCTTACGTGTCCGTGACCAAAAGTGACCTGGATCCCGCGCAGACGCCCACGCCCAGCCCCCGCCTCTCCGGTGGGTGGGACGTAACGAGGGCCCGCCCCGCACGCCACGCCCGCGGCTGCTGAGCCCACTGGAGCCCGCGGACCTCCGTGTCCTCCTGTCCTGAGATCGGTCACGGAGCGGCCACCTGCACTTTGTCCGACGGAAGGGTCTGCTTCGTTCTGGTCATTTTCCTCTTTTTAACCCTGTTCTGCCTTTTTTTTTTTCTTTTTTTTTTTTTTTACATCGTGGTTCTTGTCCAAGGCAGGCGTGTCCCCTCCGCCACTGCACTCGCCCAGGTTCTGGCTTCTGGCTTCCGCGGTTTTTATTGTCTGTGTCAGACGTACCAGCCAGATGTCGTTTGTCGGCGCCTCCGCCCGCCCGTCCACGTGGCCCGTTCTGTTTCCCGCCGCTCACCCTCACGCTCTGAAGGACAGACTCACCCTGAGTGTCGCAGCCCATTTGTTTTGAGAGAGAATCAACAGATCATATTCAGTGTCTTGAATAAATTGCTCTATTTTGATATGAGAGAACGTGGTGGGTGTCCTTTCTTCGTCCCCGCTCCATCTGTGGGCCCGCGGGCGCCACGAGGAGAAAGGTGCGCCTTCTCCACCGGAGGGGCCCTCTTCCCAGGGCGGCCGTTGAAGGGGGAAGCCGTTGGCTGTACAACAGCAGCCGTGTGCGAGGGGCCGGTCCTCGGGGCGTGTTCCGCAGTTTCTTTCCGTGATGTTATTTCAGGCTGGCTGTCTGAAAGTCAGTCTGGGTGTCCTCTTGCCCAGGGCGGGTTGGCTGTGATTTGGGGTCCGGGATGAACGCGGGCATTTGCAGATGGCGGAGCCCAGGGCGCGGGGCAGTTTGGACGGTGAGTCCTGACCCAGCCTTGGCCGCGTGTTGCAACGACGCCACCTGAGCCCTGGGTGGCTGCTGCATGCTTCGTTGTGATGGGTGCCCCTGTCCCCGCCATGTGCCAGGCCGCTGTTTTGGGACACAGGCTGCATTTCACTCTGCAGGAGTCAGCACGTGGGTTACAGTGTCATTTTCCTCCGCCCACATCACAGCAAGGCCGGGCCCCCCTCTTCGGTCCCAGGGTGGTGGGGTGCAGCCCGCCTACTTTGTATTCCTTGAACCCTGCCCAGTTGACCGAGCCCGTTCCCACGGGTGGGTTTGGGGTGACGTTCTGAGCAGCCCCGGCCCTGCTAACGGACTCAGGAAGGTCCCGGGAAGGACTCGTGGCTGCAAGTAGAGGAGGGCAGCCCCGGGTGCAGGTGTGTGTGGCCGTGGCCCCCGTGGCTTCGGCCACGATGCTGTAGCACGTGGGCAGCGTCCCGTGGGGCTCTTGGTACCGCAGAGGAGAGGGGGTTGGGACACACTGTGTACCTTCCCTCTGCAGGTACCACGGACCCCTCTCTGCAGGGCTCCGACATGGTTTGCTCTGTGCCCTGACTGGGCTTCTGTCTATGCATCTGGGGCTCCGTGTCCTCGCCCAGCAGAGGGCTTTCTGTGCATGGCCCACATCTCGGTGCTCTCCCTACGGGGGATGGAGAACACCCTCCGTGTCCACGGGAAGTTCACACTCGGGGTGGCCGTTGGAACCTGCAAAGCGGGGAGCTGCGTGGGGTCGGGCACACCTCTAAGGACGGCATGTGGCCACATGGCCTCCCCGGCTGGCTCTTGGTCTGCAGCGTCTTGTGTACTTGCAAGGTATCCGGGCAGGAGGCCGGGCTCCGCTGGGAGGAGGGCAGGGCAGCCCTGGGCCTCGGGCAGGGCCAGGCTGTGCCAGGGTGGGCAGGGCAGAGCAGGGCAGGGCTCGGCAGAGCTGGGCCGGACAGGGCCGGACTGGGCTGGGCTGGGCAGGGCGGGGCTGGGCAGAGCGGGGGCTGGGCTGGGCTGGGCTGGGCTGGACCGGGCAGGGCAGGGCAGGGCTGAGCGGACAGGGCGTGGCCAGGTGGGGCTGGGCAGGACAGTTCTCTGCAGATGGGAACCCTGAAGCCCCCGCCCTGGGAACTGGGGGCTGGGGTAGGAGTCGTCCTCACTAGCCGGCGGTCACGGGAACTGGCCGCGGGCCCTGGGCAGCCACACAGGACAATGGGCGGGGAGGGGACCTGGGGAAGAGGGGACACGAGCAGACTCAGGCAGACCTGTGCTAGGGTGTGACCCAAGCCCCAGGTGTTAGAACGAGGTAGAAGGGCCTGATAGGAGTATCTCTCCACCCAAACTGCACCCCGGCTACACCTGCCCACCCAGCCACCCCAACTCCTGTGTGGGTCCGGTTCCTGCAGCTTCAGGGTGGTCCCTGGGTCCTTCCCCTCACCTCATCATCATTGCGGCCACCGCCCTCCCCCCAGCGGACCTGGTGCCCACCATCTGAACCGCCAACCTCACTGGCGGGGAGGGCCTCACAGGGAACCCCTTAACCAGCGTTCTCACGTTTCGTGTGTGCTCAGTGACTGATGCCCAGCTGCTGGCACCCCCGGCCCGGGACGCTGCAGCCTGTGTCCCCAGTGCCCAGGCGGCCGTGCGCTCTCGCTCTGGGCTCATGCCAATCAAAACCCCCGAGCCAGGGCCGAGGGACCCCATCTCCGGGGAGTCGTGCCAGCGGACAGTCAGATGGGCCACCTTCTCCCTCGCAAGCGTCCGACCCCGGCCCTGGCTCGTGTCATCCAGGAAGGAGCAGGGATATCGGGCAGCTCCAGAGTCTCCAAAGGACCAGGTGTGGAGGCCGTGCAGGCAGGGACGGCGAAGTCGGGCTGCAGGACGGTCCCCTGCAGGTCACCCTGCACATGGCGGCCCTCGCGCACCCCCAAGCCCCTTCCCAAGAGGGAGGCTGGGAAGGCGAGCGGCTGGGGTCTTTGCCCCTAGAATGGGGGTGCGGCTGTAACCCCCAGGTAGGGGGTCCTCAATAGGAGGGGCTTTCGCTGCTGGGGCGGTGTCAGCACAGACAGTAAGAATGCCAGTGCCACCCAGGGAAGCGGACACGCCTGACGCCCGTCACTGGGGGCCGCTCCGGGCTTGGGAATGTGCCAGCCTGGGCCCCAGGGCGCAGCGCCCGGAATCGGTCTGCAGCCCCACAACCCCAGAAGGACAAAGTCAGAAGCAGCCCGCACGGCTGCTGCACGGGACAGGGAGACCGAGCCCTGTCGAAGGTCCCATGGCAGAGGGGTCTGCAGCCCAGACATATCTCTCCGTAGCTACAGCCTCGCCGGCTCGCAACTCCAACGCATGTAGTGTTGCTGCTGAGACAGTCGTGCCCTGGTGTTTCCAACGGGTGGGAAGATGAGGCCTAGGCAACGATGTGAGCAGAAACCAGGTTCCAAGATTCCTGACACTGGCCTTGCTCACAGTGGGGGCCGAAGGCTGAATTCTTGATGCGCCCTCCATGCGCAAAAGCTGCCTCTTCTGCGCCCTCTGGTGGTACATGCAGGACATGCAGTGAGGCTGAATTCTTGATGCGACCAAGCTGCCTCTTCGGCGCCCTCTGGTGGTACATGCAGGACATGCAGTGAGGCTGAATTCTTGATGCGACCAAGCTGCCTCTTCGGCGCCCTCTGGTGGTACATGCAGGACATGCAGTGAGGCTGAATTCTTGATGCGACCAAGCTGCCTCTTCGGCGCCCTCTGGTGGTACATGAACGACATGCAGTGAGGACGAATTCCTGGTGGGAGCTGCCTCTTTGGCGCCCTCTGGTGGTACATGCAGGACATGCAGCGAGCCCTGGCCAGTTTGGCTCAGCGGTTGAGCGTCAACCTGCAGAGAGTCCTGGGTTCAGTTTTCCGCTAGGGGCACGTACCACAATAGAAAAAGAAAAAGAAAAAAGATAAACTTGCAGCAAGGCTGAATTCCTGATGGAAGCTGCCTCTTCTGTTCCCTCGGGTGGTTCATGCAGGACAGTCTGTGCCCTCTGGTGGTACATGAAGGACATGCAGTGAGGCTGAATTCCTGGTGGGAGCTGCCTCTTCTGCGCCCTCTGGTGGTACATGAAGGACATGCAGTGAGGCTGAATTCCTGGGGGAGCTGCCTCTTCTGCGCCCTCTGGTGGTACATGAAGGACATGCAGTGAGGCTGAATTCCTGGGGGAGCTGCTTCTTCTGCACCCTAGGGTGGTACATGCAGGACATGCAGCGCAGCCACCCATGTGCCCTGTTCATCAGCTGCTTCTCCATGTTGCTGCCCTTTTGACACCATCAGTAACTTGACCCAAGAGCATTTCCTGGAAGTATTTTCAGACAGAGTCCAAACCAGAGTAGGAGCTTAGTTATGACTTTATTAACTTTCCCAAGGACTTGGTCCTGGTATTACATCACAATGTCTACAGAAGCTGCCTAATAGTGGGGGTCTAGAACAGTGATTTCCATCTCATGGCACCCACAAACTAATTACTGAAATTCTTCACACCAAAAAATATGTTTGCCAGTCTGAGCAAAAGAATAGGTATAACTTTGATCCATTCACACCAGACAACTATGGCTGTATGACTGTTGTCACTTTTTTTTATTTGACAATCTAGTTTTTCTATTTGACTAGTCTGATGTTGCATGTTTTAAAAATTCTGGTGGTGCACTGGTTGAAAATCGCTGGTCTAGAAGGACATCTTCTGTCCCCAAGTGCACACTGTCTCCACAGAGAGGGGGGTGGGGCGAACACGGGTCTGAAGGACGAGGAGCACAGCGTGGAGGATGTGGGCTGGGGACCCTGCCATGCCCCTCACAGGTCTCCCTGGACCCTGGGAACACCGTCGGCCTCACTCACGGCGCGGGGCCCACTCGCGATGTGGATCTCGACGGTGCTGGTGTTGGAACCTGCAGAGGGAGAGAGAAAAGGTTGCGATGGTGCCCGTGTCCTGGAAGTTGCTCCACGCGCTTCCAAAATGTCGCGCTGGGGAGCGAGGTCACAGCGCACTGTTGTGGTTGCCCGGCCACCTGCGTTCATCCCCAGCAGGCGCCCAAAGGGAGGAAGACAACCTCTGTCGACTGTGACGCCTCCGAGGGGTCTCCTCGATGGTGCACCAGGGTTTTCAGGGGCAGTGTTATCAGTAAAGTAGAACCAACGTTCTTCCTGCCAAGCGTCATCCTGTTGCCACTCCAAGAACACGCCTGCCTTTGCCACCATGCACGGGGCAGCGACGGCCCCTGGTGGGAATGGCCCATACCTGAACTCCATGCACCCGGGGCCTGGTGCCTGCTGCAGCCTCCTCCTGGGTCCCTCGGGCTCCCTGGCCTCTCTGTGTCTCCCACCCCGAGCGCACCTGGGCCACCGGCCGCTGCCTGTCTCCTCTGCCTGTAAAACTTGTCCAGGTTGTGCTCAGGGCTCCGTTACACGTCATTCGGGTCTCAGTTCCAGCGTCGCCCCCTCAGGGAGGCCCAGGTCACCCTCCCTGAAATCACCCTCCTGTCCCTTGCGTGTGTCTTCGCGGCCGGCTCACCGGCAGTAGTACAGGTGTGAGGGGTGGTTCTCTGCCAGTCGGATGGAGAGTCTCAGTGGCAGGCACTCGGTGGTGCTCACCGGGCAGCACTGCCTCACGTGGCACCACACGCACGGGTGCTCGGTGAACCCAGGCCGGCGGGGGAGAGGTCGGGTGTGTGGCCTCCCCGCTCCTGGATGCAGCCTTCACCCGTCACCTTGGAGACTGGCCAGCACCCAGACAGGCAGGAACAAGCGACATTTAAAGAGAAACCAGCCACCCTGGCCGGTTCGGCTCAGCGGTGAGAGTATCGGCCTGTGGACCAAAGAGTCGTGGGTTCGAGTCTGGTCAAAAGCAGGTACCTTGGTTGTAGTTTGGTCCCCAGCCCTGGTTGGAGTCATGCAGGAGGCAATCAATTGATGTCTCACTCTCTCCCTCCTACTCTGTCTGAAAATAAGTGAAAAAATATCCTCAGGTGAGGATTAGAAAGAAAAAAAAGTTTAAAAAAAAAAAAAAGAGAGAGAGAGCTCTGGCCAGTTTGGCTCAGCGGTTAGAGCGTCGGCCCGCAGACCAGAGAGACCCGGGTTCGGTTCCCGCTAAAGGCACGCACCTCGGTTGCAGTTTGTCCCCGGCCCTGGTTGGGTCGTGTGGGTGGCAGCCAGTCAATATGTCTCTCTCATATCGATGTTTCTCTCTCTCTCTTCCTTCCTCTCTCCCTCCATCTGAAGATAAATGCAAAAATGTCCTCGGGTGAGAATTTAAAAAAAAATAATAAAGGAAAAACATTCTTTTACATCTTTGCGGCACACTGGTTGAGAATCACGGAGTTGGAGGCGAGCCCGCCACTGTCCCCAGGGAGCATGGTGATCACAGCCCAGTCCCCCGTGGGAGCTCGTACACGGGCTGGTGTCCTCAGCGGCAGAACAGCCCGTGATGTAGCGGCTGAGCCCTGCCCACAGCTCAGTCGAGACTAGTGCACGCACGTTGCTGGGGGCTTCTCTCCAGGCGCCCACGACTACGTCCGGGGCACGATGCTTCGTTCGCCCGCATTTCCAAGAACCCCGCGTTCCGGAAGGACTTCTCCGCACACTTTGCAAGGATGCTTTCGATGAGGTGTGAATGAGATCTCAATGAAACCAACAGCTCAGCAGCCTGTGACTGAGACCAGGCCTCGGGGCGCTGCCCCTGGCTGGAAGGCGGAAGGCAGGAGCTCGCTGTGCAACGTCCGACTTCAGCAGGTGGGACACGGGCCCAACCCCAAGACTGGTAAGACCTTAAACTAACCAAGGACGGCGTTCCAGGCTCAGAGACAGTCTCCATGCGTCCTGACGCCGCGTCAGCCTCAAGGGCTCTCACGGAGGAGGCCAGGGGCCCTGGGGCCCGGTCCTCCCTGCACGGGGCTCCGTCGGCTCCGGATCAGGCCTGCGTGTTCGAACCCACAACCCAGGGGCACAGCCATGCACCAGCTTGCTGGGCAGGAGGCAGGTGGGGCCTTGCTGACTGATCCCATTTCTTGGTGGGACTGAGGCGGGGCGGTCTTCGTTGTGGGTAGTGGTGTGCTTGACCTCCGGTGTGCTTGACCTCGGGTGTACTTGACCTCCGGTGTGCTTGACCTCGGGTGTACGTGACCTCCGGTGTGCTTGACCTCGGGTGTACTTGACCTCGGGTGTGCTTGACCTCGGGTGTACTTGACCTCCGGTGTGCTTGACCTCGGGTGTACTTGACCTCCGTGTGCTTGACCTCGGGTGTGCTTGACCTCGGGTGTACATGACCTCCGGTGTACTTGACCTCGGGTGTACGTGACCTCGGGTGTGCGTGACCTTGGGTGTGCTTGACCTTGCGTGTGCTTGACCTCCGGTGTGCTTGACCTCCGGTGTGCTTTTCCTCCGGTGTGCTTTTCCTCCGGTGTGCCTGACCTCGGGTGTACTTGACCTCGGGTGTGCTTGACCTCGGGTGTGCTTGACCTCGGGTGTGCTTGACCTCGGTGTACATGACCTCCGGTGTACTTGATTTCCGGTGTGCTTGACCTCGGGTGTGCTTGACCTCGGGTGTGCTTGACCTCCGGTGTGCTTGACCTCGGGTGTGCTTGACCTCGGGTGTGCTTGACCTCGGGTGTGCTTGACCTCGGGTGTACATGACCTCCGGTGTACTTGACCTCGGGTGTGCTTGACCTCGGGTGTGCTTGACCTCGGGTTTGCTTGACCTCCGGTGTGCTTGACCTCGGGTGTGCTTGACCTCGGGTGTGCTTGACCTCGGGTGTGCTTGACCTCGGGTGTGCTTGACCTCCGGTGTGCTTGACCTCGGGTGTGCTTGACCTCGGGTGTACATGACCTCGGGTGTACATGACCTCCGGTGTACTTGACCTCGGGTGTACTTGACCTCCGGTGATGGGCTCAAGTCCCCCCAAGGCCAGGATGGGCGGGCCCAGGAAACAGGAGTTTTGAGATAAAAGCTTTGGCTCATTCCCGGGAGGCACCAGGCGACCAGCCGTGCCCCGAGTGTGGCCTCGCCCTTGGGGAAGGATGGACAGTCTGTCACCTCATGGTCTCCGCCTCTGTCTTGGAGCCTCAGCCACAACTACTGGGTCCCTTCGAGGTGCCCATGACAACCAGATGGCACCTGTCTCCAGGAAGCAATCAATTCAGCTCCACACTCTGGGGCCCTGGGCGTCTGCATTACGACAGGTACCGAAAACGAACGCTCCTCCCTTGTCTCCGAACAGTAGGAGCGAAGACGGAAATGAAACTCGGAAGTCCTGGGCCTGCTTCCTCGCTGCAGATGACATTGTTTCTGTACCACCTGCTTTGGGCTCCGTTTGCGTGCGCATGCGTGTGCGTGCGTGTGTGTGTGCGTGTGTGCATGTAGCTCAGACAGTGTGTTGGGAAAAGCACACTGTGGACCCGAGCTTTGCGAAGCCTCATTATTCGGAGACATTGGTGCTGACCTCACGTCACTGTGCTCCCTGGGGGACACTGGTCGCCATCGGGAGAGCGTTTTGGTCGGCACAGTTGGGAAGGTGCTCCTAGCCCCCGGTGGGTGGAGGCCAGGGTGCTGCTGACACCCCCCAGCACGCGGGACACCCTCAGCACGGGGAAGCACTAGTGCGTCTGCGCACGGCACTGAGGACGAGAGCTCTCCAGGGGCAGAGACCGAGGGGCAGGCACTGAGCACAGAGCTCGGGTCCCCCTGCCCAGCCCCAGCGCCGGCTGAGGAGGGGAGAGCACCCAGGACGCACCAGACACTCCCTCACTGTCCCTCAACATCCTAACCCTCCGCTCCCCAGCCCTTTCAGACGGCCAGTGCACTCCCAGGGTCCATCTGTCTGTCCGTCCCAAACCGTCGGGTCCGTTCAAACTCTGTGGGTGTCACAGAGGCAACTTTCAGACCTTTTTTTTTTTCATCAAAAGACAGATTTTTGTTGAGACCGAGCTTACGAGGACCCCAACACTCGCGGAAGAGAGTGGTCCATTGGCCAAGGTTGACTTCGTCCGTCCCAATGAGCTTTGTTTACGATCACAAGAGCCATCGGACCGGTGACGGCCAGGCGAGCCCACTGAGACTCTAACACCAGAAGCCGGGCGTCCCGAGATGTCTCCAGCCACCGAAACGTCAGCTTGTCGTGTTTTGGTTTGATTGCAGCCGACGGGGCAGAGTTGGTTGTCACGGCTGAGGTCTAAGGGTAACGGTTTTCAGTTGCCCCCCAGGATGGTCTGCACAGGACGCTGGGCTCCGGACGCCAGCTGGCTGGTCAGACGGGTTCCGAGCTCGTATTTGGTGACAGGCACAGTTGACCGCGGGCACTTTTTCTCACGTTCTCTCCTCTGTTTGGGGACGGGATTTGAATCATTTCCGAGATGCCTGAGACCACATTAGGGTTCCGCAAGGCGCACTTTGAAGATCGCAGCGCTGGTCTTTAAGTGACAAGGACAGATGCGAAGAGGCCACAGTGCTAACGGGCTGCTCATCCTAAATGCCCCAGGCGGCCGGACCCATCAACCCAGCCGCGATCGGCAAAGGCGTGTCCTCCTGTCCAGCTTCCCCGCAGATGTTAGCGAGGGGCCCCTAGTGACAGTGATGTCCTATTCAAAATGCCATGCAGCCCAAGGGGGCCACGGGGAGTGACTGTGCCTGAGGGGGCCGTGGGGAGTGAGGGCAGCCCGAGGGGGCCGTGGAGAATTAACACAAGGCCCTGGCCGGAACATCAGCCTGCGGACCAGAGAGGGTTAATGCCAGGCCCTGGCCCAAGGGGCAGCCTGGGACCAGAGAGGGTTAATGCCAGGCCCTGGCCCGAGGGGCAGCCTGGGACCAGAGAGGGTTAATGCCAGGCCCTGGCCCGAGGGGCAGCCTGGGACCAGAGAGGGTTAATGCCAGGCCCTGGCCCGAGGGGCAGCCTGGGACCAGAGAGGGTTAATGCCAGGCCCTGGCTGGAACATCAGCCTGCGGACCAGAGAGGGTTAATGCCAGGCCCTGGCCCGAGGGGCAGCCTGCGGACCAGAGAGGGTTAATGCCAGGCCCTGGCCCGAGGGGCAGCCTGGGACCAGAGAGGGTTAATGCCAGGCCCTGGCCCGAGGGGCAGCCTGGGACCAGAGAGGGTTAATGCCAGGCCCTGGCCCGAGGGGCAGCCTGCGGACCAGAGAGGGTTAATGCCAGGCCCCAGTGCTGGGCTGAGCTGAAAGCAGAGGGTGTAATGCAGGGTCAGCGTCCACGTGGGCCCCTGAGACCCCCGTGGACTCCCTGGCCTGCATGGCAGATCCCATGACACCACGCCCACCGCACGTCCTTGTTCGCGAGGGGTTCTGGGAGAGCCTGGCCCGGCAGCGGGCCTTACCTTCAGACAGCATGCTCAGGGCCTCGTCAGAGGTGTGCCCGCCCGCGCGCACCCCCTTCCTGGCCGCGGGGCCGTCGGGGGGCGCGCAGGAGCCCTCGTGGGCCGGGCCGGCCCGCTCGGCGGCAGAGCTGGTCATGGATTCCCACTGGATCTCCTTCCGGGACGACTGGAAGTCCAGGCTGCAGCCTGTCCAGCCGTAGAAGGCCAGGGACAAGAGAAAGCCTTGGGCTGGGTTCAGGATGCCCTGGGCAGGGGACAGGGAGATGGCCGGTGAGTGGGGGAAGCAGGCGCCCCAGCCCTGCGCCTGCACAGCCACGCGCCACTCAGCATGCCCACGGGCTGGCCCCGGGAGTGACCGCTGAGCTGGATTCAACACGGTTCCTGAGGCGACAAGGGTCTGAGAGGCGTCCTCTCTCGTGTGTGGAGCCTGCACTGAACCGAGCCCAGGGCACCGCGCGGCGGCACAGCGGGGAGCAAGGCGGGGCACCGGCTCTCACTTTCTGGTCCTGGTGAATCACGTTCCCCCCCTTCTGAAGCGGCACCAATGTCTGTGCTCGGTAGGCCACGGGCATCTGCACCAGCAGATCGTGTGCGTGTGTGTGGCCCAGTGCACACACTGGGAGGGGGCCCACCGGGGGCCCACCCACAGACTTCCCACCTGTCACCGCGTGTATTTCTGGCTGGTCTTTTCTCCTGTGTGTGATTCTGCTGTTGAATTTAGGGTAATTTTTATATCCTGCATTTTTCACTTAATATGACACACTCCCAATTGTCAGTGTGTGTGTGTGTGTGTGTGTGTGTGTTAATCCTCACCTGAGGATATTTTAGACTGGAAGGGGGGGAGAAGCAGAGAGAGAGAAACATTGATGTGAGAAACACTGATGTGAGAGAAACATTGATGTGAGAGAGAAACATTGATGAGAGAGAGAAACATTGATGTGAGAGAGAAACATTGATCTGAGAGAGAAACATTGATGTGAGAGAGAAACATTGATGTGAGAGAGAAACATTGATGAGAGAGAAACATTGATGAGAGAGAAACATTGATGTGAGAGAGACACATCGAATGTTTGCCACCCACACGACCCCAACCAGGGCCGGGGACAAACTGTAACCGAGGTACATGCCCTTAGCGGGAACCGAACCCGGGCCTCTCTGGTCCGCGGGCCGACGCTCTAACTGCTGAGCCAAACCGGCCAGGGCATAATTGTCATTCTTAACATCTGCACAACAATCCATGAAGGTGAAAGACCATAATTCACTGAACTGTTGCCTTTTAAAAAAAAAATTCAAGGAGCTGGCGTCGCCTGTAGGTGTCCAGCAACCCGACCAAGTCACATCTATTTAAATCACAGGACATCAGACTTCTGAGCAGTTTTTCCTTCTGCTTTTTCTTTTTTTTTCCCCCCCAAGAAGAAAGTTTAAAATGCGGAGTGACCTACCATAATGAACCACGTGGTCTTGGCCGCATTTCTGACATATTTCAAAGCCCCTTCGGTGCTATCCGGCTGCATCTCAAGATAGAATAGAAGGGACTCGTTGATGATGTTGGACAACCAACTGTGAGGAAGCAAATGGCCCACGGGGATAGGCTGTTAGAGCTCAGGGGAGGGGGGGTCCCCCAAGAACCAACAGTCCTGCACGGGTGGCTGGGAAGGTCCCCGCTCATCATGGACAGAAGAGCTGTGATGGTTTCTCTGCGGCTCAGACAGACAGACAAACCCTACATCATAGCCCAGAAGTCGGTCTTCATTTGAAGGGGAACCTGACGTTGACCCGAGACCAAAGCAAATCTCGTCTTGACTTTGGATGTTCGCATGTTCTGATGTTGTTGTCAGGAGGCCCAGGAAGACGGCAGGGCCAGCTCAGGGGGGGGTTGTTTTTGTTTTTTGTTAATCCTCACTCGGGGATATTTTTCCATTAATTTTTAGATACAGTGGAACAGAGGAAAGACGAGAGAGAAACATCCATGTGAGAGAGACACATCGACTGGTTGCCTCCTGCACGGCCCCAGGCGGGGTCAGGGATCAAACCTACAGCCCAGGCATGTCCCCTGGAGCAGGAATCGAACCCGTGACCCTCTGGTCTGCAGGCGGTTGCTGTAACCACTGAACCCCAGCAGCCAGGGCAAGCCGGGGGCGTTTTGAGAGAGAGAGTGCGCGCCTCTCCCAGGACAGAGTCCGAGCCTCCTCGTAGCAGATGAGTGGCCAGCCCCGCGCGGGCATGACTTTGGCGGCAGGTGAAGTTTTCTGATTCCAGGCTGCTCTGCGTGGGTCACAGGACGATTTTCGATGGGGAAACGGAGCAGAGGAACATTGCCCTGTGCTCGGAGCCATCACACCAAAGACGAGTCCTAGTCCTTGGATCTTCCGGGGGTCAGGCCTCCTGGCTCAACACTGATGCCCGTGGGTGGATGGAAAACCTGGGATCTCACCCGGCCGGTGTGCTCGGTAGTTAGAGCGTCAGCCTGCGCACGGCAGGGTCACAGGTTCGATTCCTGGTCAAGGGCACGTACCTGGGTTGCAGGTTCGATTCCAGGTCGGGGCGGGTGCGGGAGGCAAGCAATGGATGTGTCTCTCTCACATGGATGTTTGTCTCTCTGTCTGTCTCTCGCTTCCACACCCTCCCTTCCAAATCAATGGAGAAAAGACCTCTCGGTGAGGATTAAATGAAAAAGAAGGCAGGACCCAGCGGTGTGCATCCGTGTTGACCCTGGGGGGGCACGGCTGGTGCATGAGGCTCGGCCGCGGGCAAGCCGACCTCGGGACGGTTCTGGGGCTGCCCACCCCTTTCTGTAGAGTGGACTGTTCCCCGAGGTCAGGGGCTGGGGACCCGTCTTCCCGCCCTGCGTGCACAGCCTCGAGGGCCCCCAGCGTCGATGTCAAGATCTCCGTTGCACACACTGTTCCTGCTGGAACTTGGAGGTCACGCGTGGAAGAGAACACAGCCGGCGGTCTGCACCTCCCTTCCCCGGGACACTCAGAAAGAACAGGCGGGAAGTTACCAGATCACGAAGACCAGCATGATTTTGAAGAAGCGGGTCTTGATCATGGCTCCCATCCGTCTCTCCTTCTCCGTGTAGATGCCTTGTCTCCCTTTCAGCAGGGAAGCCACTGTGAAGGAGAGGAGGCTTGTGGTGCCCATGACTGGCGTCTGCTGAGGGGCGGGGGGCATGTGACCCACAGGAGCCGGTGGCAAAGCCGGACGAGGGTGAGGCCGGGCGAGACCCCGCCGCTCTGCGCACCACGTGCAGGTGGCAGGTCTCCCAGACTCGCGGGAATCTAGGCATCTGACACGTTTACTCCGAAGCAGTTTTACGTGTACAAAGTCGTCATTGTACACGGCAACCTCTGTCACAAGGACGAAAGGATCAGTGGTCGTGACTGCTAATGAAACTCCGGTTGTATTTTACTCGCTCAGGAACTGTTTCTTTTTTATCCTGGCCTGAGGACATTTTTGCATTTCAGATAGAGCAGGAGGGAGAGAGGGAGGAAGAGAGAGAGAGAAACATCGACGTGAAGGGACATATCGACTGTTTGCCACCCACACGACCCCAACCGGGGCCCGGGACAAACTGCAACCGAGGTACGTGCCCTTAGCGGGAACCGAACCTGGGTCTCTCTGGACCGCAGGCCGACGCTCTAACCGCTGAGCCACACCGGCCAGGGCAGGAACTCTTTTTAAAGACGTACACTTTCTGCCCTCAGACCAAAGAGTCCTGGGTTTAATTCCAGCCACATACCTCGATTGCAGTTTGTCCCCGGCCCCAGTTGGGGTCGTGCGGGTGGCAACCAATCGATGTGTCTCTCTCACATCGATGTTTCTCTCTCTCTCTCCCTCCCTCTCTCCCTCCAGCTCTATTTGAAGATAAGTGCAAAAATGTCCTCGGGTGAGGATAAAAAATTAAAAATAAATAAAAAAGACTTACACTTTCTATCATAAAAAAGATGCAATGTTGCTATTTTAAAGTGTTGAAAGATTGTCCCTGTCTGGTTTGGCTCAGTGGTATAGCGTTGGCCCCCGGACCAATGAGTTGCGGGTTCGATTCTGGTCAAGGGCACGTACTTCAGTTGCAGTTCACCGCCGGCCCTGGTCCGGGTTGTGCAGGAGGCAACCAGTCATGTGTCTCTCTTATTTTATTTTAATTTTTTTTTGATATTTTGTTCAGAATAGAGTGGGAGGGGGAGAGAGAGAGAAACATCGACGTGAAAGGGACACATCGAGTGGCTGCCACCCGCACAACCCAACCAGGGCCGGGGACAAACTGCAACTGAGGTACGTGCCCTTAGCGGGAACCGAACCAGGGTCTCTGGGGACCGCAGGCCGACGCTCCAACTGCTGAGCCAAACCGGCCAGGGCGTGTCTCTCTTATTGATGTCTCTCTCTCTCCCTCCTTCCCACTCTATCTGAAGAAAAATAGAAAAAAAAAAAAACCTCGGGTGTGGATTAAAAACGGGACAAAAATAAAGTGTTGGGGGATTGAACATGTCTCCTAATGGACCGGCTGGAACACATGGACAGAGGGAGCTGCTGCTCCTTCCAGTGTGTCCCTGGGTTGTCATCTGCTCCACACACTGAACCACTGTTTGTGCGCGGCTTGGTAACCGCGGCTTGGTAACCGCGGCTTGGTAACCGCGGCTACGTGTCGTGCACTGTGGTTGGATGCAGGTGTGGAAGGAGGGATCGAAGACCGTCCTGATCCCGGTTCTCGGAGGGAGAACGTGAAGTGTTCTGCGGCTGATGCTCAGTGGCCTTTCTCATTCTCAGTCCGCACCTGGCACGTCCCGGCCGCCGGAGGGGCCTGGAGATGCGCCCCGGCTCGTGCGTCCCGGGAGCTCGCCCCCTGCCTCAGCCCCGATGTCTGTCCAGTGCGTTCTGCTGGCGTCCAGCGTCCCCTTACCTGTCTTACGGCTGGTCTGACTCATCTCCTGTCCTCCCCTTCCTGCTTCCTGCTCAGCTGAGCGAAGACACAGGCCCAGCTGGTACCGGAGTGACCAGGCCCTGAGCCTCGGACCGTCCTCCGGGCCTCCCTCCGCTCCCCTTCCCTCTCCGTTCCCAAAGCCACGCTGGGGCCTCCAGGTCACACCAGGGGCACCAGCAGAGCCCAGATGGACACGCCGCGTCCGCAGGGCGGACCGTGAGCTAACAGCGGCCATGGACTTGCGTGGCCCATAAGTGAGCGGGCTGGCGCCTTGACGGGTATGAAAGCGGCTCCCTTTCTGCAACCGTCCTCGCTCGTGTCTCCGGGTGACGATGAATGAGGTGATCCGTCCCCGAGACTCCCAGGGGGACAGCAGGGACCGCGCTCTGGACCCAAGGCACCGGCCGCCCCCGGGGCCGAGGACACGGGGAGCCCTCCTGCCCGTTACCTGCGGTCACTGTCTTCCGGAACAGGACGGGGTTGGCCACGAGGACGAGCAGCAGAGGCAGGTACGTGGTGATGTAGTGCGGGACGGCGTGCTCCAGGTCCCGCTCACACCTGGGGAGGAACACCGGCTGTTCTGCCAGACGCTGGGCTGTCGCCGAGCCGAGACCAGAGCATGACAGCGCACGGAAATGCACAAATCTACTCTGGCTCTGCCCCAAGGACATGCGACTCGTTTCTCGTGTCTGTGGACCGGCCGTAAAGTGCAGAAGGAGGGACGACGGAGATCAGTCACGGGTCTGTGGTCCCGGGGACCGGGAGGACCCCCAGGGCTGCCCTGCGGGGGGCCCTACGCTCCCTGCTCGCCGGGAAACGGGAAAAGACCCTCGGGGTGGGGATGTCCCCCACAGGCTCTGCTCAAGGGAAGACACACAGTTCCACTAAGACAAGGACACTCAAGAAACCAGTCGGGTTGTGTGCATTTCCTATGCGCTCTGCCCGGCTCGCCTGGCCGACGTGAACAGATCTGGGTCCCTCCTTCAGCACCTTGGACACCCAGGCCTGAGCGATCAGCGCACCCGGGGTCTCGCGGGGCGTGAAGACAGTCACTGCAGGGGCTCTTTTCGGGGCCCGGGGCCAGGATTTCTACTGACAGGTCAGAGGAACCCTAGATGCCTGAGGGAGCTACGCAAGTATGTCACCAAGGTAGGAACGTGTCAGGTGAGAAATGCATAAGGTAGAGGGAAAATGACAAAGAGGAGGAGACACTCAAGGGCAAGGGCAGCTCAGGCCCAAAAAGGAGGTAAAAAGGCAGACAGGGGCCCTGGCCGCTGTGTTTCAGTGGTTCAGTGGTCCTCCCACAGGAGGTTGGTGGTTCGATTCCCCGTCAGGGCACAGGCGGCTTGATCCCCACTAGGGGGCGTGCAGGAGGCAGCCGATCCAAGTTTCCCTCTCACACTGATGTTTCTCTCTCTCTTCTCCCTCTCTCCCCTCCTCTCTCTCGAACATCAGTAAACTAGTCTTTAAAAGAAAGAAGAAGCGGCCCTGGCCGGTTTGGCTCAGCGGTTAGAGCGTCGGCCTGCGGTCCGGAGAGACCTGGGTTCGGTTCCCGCTAAGGGCACGTACTTCAGTTGCAGTTTGTCCCCGGTCCTGGTTGGTCGTGCGGGTGGCGGCCACTCGATGTGTTCCTTCACGTCGATGTTTTTCACTCTCTCTCCCTTCCTCTCTCTCCCTCCCACTCTATCTGTACAAAAAATGGAAAAATATCCTCGGGTGAGGATAAAAAAAAAAAAAAAAGAAAGAAGAAGCGGACAAGGGAACAGTCTGTGGCCACAGAAGGCGGAATGGCAAAAATGCAAATACTCTTATGTCTCCTCCAACCACCAGGGGGTACAACGGCAGGAAAATCAAAACATGGGGTGGGAAGAAGGCCGTGCCCAGCCTTCCCGGCCTCGGAATGACCACGACGCCTCCAAACGATGCCACCTTCTTCCTTGGGAGAGGAAGGTGCGTCACCAGCTGTGAAGGTTACAGTGTGGTCTGGAGAGGCTTGAGGGGAGAAGGGAGGACTCGCGGAGGAAGAGCCAGGATTGTGCCGCCAAGACAAAGTGAAGGATGAGTGAGTCAGGAAGGGAGCTGGGATGATGCCGAGGGCGCTGGGTCACGGGGCACGAGGATTCGGATGATTAAGGATGAAGGTGCTTAACAGCAGTGGCCTCCCAAAGACCACCAGGGCACCTGGGACCTCCAGGGAGCCCTGCCCGAAAGGCTCCCTCCCACCCAGCTGCCACTTTCCTGAGAGTCCCCAACTTGCACAGGGGAAGGGGAGGGACAAAGTGTCCCTTTGCCATTAAGTGCACCCCGTTTGAACAGGCGTGCACCCTGGGTGTCCTCTGAGCGTCCCTGGTAGCGCAGGCTGTGGCTGGATGTGCACAGACCCATGCAGCATCCAGGACCACGAGCCAGCGCCAAGTGGAGCGGTCCAACCTGAAGTCCAAAGAGAAGGGAGAAACCGTATAGCACCGCTCGGCAAACCTCTCCTGGGAGGGAGCAGATGGTAAATATTCCATCCTTCATGGGCCACACACTCCGTCAGAACGTCTCAACTCTCACGTCATGCCAAGGGAGCCATGTGCAATTTGTGAACAAGTGGAGATGGCTGCGTTCCAATAAAACTTTATTTACAGTGGCAGGCGGAGGGCCGGATTTGTCCTGAGGGCTGCGCTGTGCTGATTCCTAGCCCACACAGTCCTAAGCTCACAAAGACACCCTGTGCAGCCTGTTTTTTTCTGTTTTCTTTTGGATGTTAGAGGATATGTCCTTGGGGGACCTTGATGCTTTAAAGGTGGTTGCGTTGATGGGATTTATTTTTCACGGGTGGGACTTTCAACTTGAAGACGTGCCTGGGACTGTTTCCGAGGCCACAGCTAGGGCCTGCGTGTGTGTTCAGGACAGCCACGTGAGAGAGGGTGGCCAGCAGAGCGAAGCTGGGAGTGAGCGCTTCCCAGAGGGGCCGTTTGACTCCCCACATCACCTCGCGCTGGGACGGGAAACCCACCCACTCGTCCGGAAGCCAGAGCAAAGAATGAAAATGAGAGTGGGCATAAGAACGCCCTATCCGCGCCAGGCTTGAGCCTGCCTCCCTGCACACCTGCCTCTGTGGAGCACACACTCCTGAAGTCGGGGTACATGCTGCGTGCAAAGGCAGCACCCACACCGAGGGAAAGCCTGGGGCAGGGAGGTCTCTCAGGGCACGAGGTATTGGGGGGCGCCCGTCTCCGCTGCAGCCATGGCACAGACGCACATGCCAGGGCTGGGGGCTGGGACAGCATCCCCTGCAGGAGGCCCCGCCCCGGCCAGGTGAGGCCCCGCCCCGGCCAGGTGCAGCGGTGCTGGCTTACCTGGACAGGGAGGGGTAGTACAGCATGAGCAGCCCCTCGGCGCAGAGCAGGGCGGCCAGGCCCCAGGCGATGATGTGGTACAGCAGGATGATGCTAGGAGAGCAGCAGACGGGCCACAGCTGAGGGCGCAGAAGGCCACCCGCACACGCCGCCACCCGCGCTCGTGCTCCCGGAACTCGGGCCTTATGCGCCTCTCAGGTTTTTTTTACTGCGGTGAAATTCATATAAGGTAAAAACAAAACTAACCATTTGCAAGGGAACAATCAGCGGTGCACCTTCAGCCCCAAACTGTGGTCACCACCCGTAGGAAGCCCCGTTCCCGTGGAGTGGTGCCCCAGCCCCCTGCCCCAGCCTCTGCCAACCACGAGTCCACTTTGCCTCTGGGGATGTTCACGCGTCCCGGACACTTGATCTCAATGACATCACACGCTACGTGGCCTTTTGTGTCTGGCTTCTTTCAATCAACATAAGCCTGTCGAGGTGGAGGGGATCAAGTACCCAACAAGCAAGGCGTTCCTATCCCCAGTCTCCCCAGGTCACCCCTGCCGGAGCCGTAGTGCCCGAAAGCAAGGGCGTCCACACGGAGGAGGTCTCTGAGGTCCTGCACCCACCGACCCTGCATAGTGCGCCTGCTTGGACAGTCTCCACCATTCAGCTCTGTGCTCCCACACACCCCACCTGGGGCCCCAAAGGCGGCCAGGCGGCCGTGCAGGTGGGGGGTGGGGAGGGTGGCCGGTGCCCATCCGCGCGGCGGGCTGGGGGGGGGGGGGGGGGGGGCAGGGCGCAAGGCTGTGGCACCGGCGGTCCCGGCTCCACCAGGCTCCTGGCAAAGTGCAGCCCAGCCTCCTCAGGGTTTGAACTCAGGGCCAGGGGGGAGAGGGAGGGGGCGCCAGGGAGAGAGGGGAAGGTCGGCCTTCTCCGGGACACAGGAGGGAAGCGAGGAGCCGAGCGGAAGGACAGCGTCAGGAGGAGGGGCGCGGGGCTCTCGGGGAGGTCACAGAGAACGGCGGCCTGCAGCCCCCACACTGGAAGTCTGCAGCAGCTTGGGAACGGGTGTGTCTTGTCCTGAAGCCAGAGGTTTTGCAGGAGCCTCAGAAAACACCAGCTTCTCTCAGGGCCGGACAGCTGAGCGGAGCGTCCACATTCCAGACCCTGCCCTTGGGCTGCAGGCTGCTCGGGTGGGGAGAGCAGGCCGGGGGTGGGGCCAGGCGAGGCCGGGGCCCCATCCCCCCTACATCTGCCGATGGTTCCCTGGCCTCAAGGGCCGCGGGCGGGGTCCGTTCGGGACCAGGTCACACAGGCAGCAGCCACTCCAATCACTGAAACACCCCGAAGCCCACAGCAGGGCGTGAGTCTGAACTGCAGTGGCCCCAGGCGGGAGCAGCCGGGACGAAGCCCCTCCTCCCAGAACCCGGTTTGGCTTCCACTCTCGCCTTAGAGCGAACAGGGAGTTCAGCTCAGGGCCTTCCCCAGGGTCTCCAGAGCTTGTGCATCCCACTCCTGCGACCAAAGCGGCCAGTTTCATGTTAACCTTGAATGACCTTTCTTAGGGTTAGGATTATCAGAAACAATTCTTGCAACAGTACCAAGCCAAAGAAAATAGCCGAGGCCTGGAAGGACCTAGAAGGGCACGCGGAGTGGTTTAAGCCCGCCGTGCCCGCCGAGCTGGCCGGCGGCCCTGGAATTCCTCGGGTCCCCTCCATGCCAGCTGCAGTCTCCTCATGGCCACCTGCAGGCTCCCTGCACCCTGCCCTGGCTCCTGCCCTTGGGAGGCGTCCTGGGGTTTTGCATCCTTGGACACTGGCCTCCGCTGGGAGGGGCTCGCCTTGAAGGCCACGCCCTGTACACGCCCAGCGGCTGCCTGTCCTCACAACAGACAGGTCTCAGGCTGCCCTTCCGACCCTCCTGTGATAGCCTGAGGCACACAGTTCTCCCAGCTTCTTGTTGGTGACCAAAGGCTCCTCTTATCTCCAGAACTACTGGACTATGCATCTCTGCTGGTGTGATCCCTCCAAAACGGAGCGAGGGAGCCATCAGACAAGGGCTGGGCTTCAGGGACAAGGCCTGCTCATGCTGCTAGCTGCACTCTCCTTTTTTTCTCTTAGTAGCCTGGATGGCATGTGCAGCAACAGCATGCTCGGCCAGCCAACTATATTTCTCACCTCGCCTTGCCGCTCAGTGTGGCCGGGAAACTAAGCTGTGGTCAATAAAATAGGAATGTGGAATTGTTGTGTGAAACTCCCAGGGAGGCTGTTTAAAGGGAGGCCTCTTTTGCATGGCTCCCTTCCCCCTTCCTGCTGCCTGGAATGCAGATGTGATGGCTGGAGCTTCAGCAGCTATGTTGGGCCATGATACCTTGAGGATAGAGGTCACACAATAGGATGGTGGAGCAGGCACATAGAATAAGCTTGGGTCCCTGATGTCCGTCATGAGGCCTAGATTGCCTAGAGAAATTTCTATCGTGTTTAAGTCATTATTACTTTATGTATTTTGTTAGCCAAAACTGTTCCTCACTGACACATCTGGTTGGCTGCCTTTGACCTCAGCTACCTTCCCTAGAGAATTTTCACAACCGGAGAGGTAGGTTCTGTACAGGTGTTTAAGAGCTTGGGAAATAAAATAAAAAGTGGAAGGCGCAGGCACACAAACGAAGTAAGCATTCAACTTCAGGGAGACCAGAGTTAATGACGTCCTATGCATGAGGAATAGGAATGATTTTACAGCATGGATCTTCTAAGATTGCCCAGTGTGTTCTATAGCCTGACCACATCCTTACTTGATGACTGTATTGATTTTAAACGTGAATTCAGCCCTGGCCGGTTTGGCTCAGCAGTTAAAGCATCAGCCTGCGGTCCAGAGAGACCCGGGTTTGGTTCCCACTAAGGGCACGTACCTCGGTTGCAGTTTGTCCCCCGCCCTGGTTGGTCGTGCGGGTGGCAGCCATTCGATGTGTCCCTTTCACATCGATGTTTCTCTCTCTCTGTTTCTTCCTCTCTCCCTCCCACTCTATCTGAACAAAATATGGAAAAATGTCCTCGGGTGAGGATTAAAAAAAAAAAGTGAATTCATTTAACCAGTTGTGCTCAGACAACTGGATACCTACATAAAAAAGAATAAAGGTGGAGCTTTTCCTCACCTACACACAGAAATCAATTCAAAACGGACCGCAGACCTCACTCAAAGTGCTCAAGCCAAAGAAGTCTCAGAAGAAAACACAGGATAAATCTTTTCGACCTCAGGTTAAGCCGTGGTTTCTTTGATGACAACAAAACCACAAGAAACAAACAAACAAAATATTAGACGTAGTCACAGTAAAAACTTCTGTACTTCAAAAGATGTCACCAAGTAAGTGGAAAGACAGCCCACTGAATGGGAGAAAATATTTGCAAACCACACATATAATAAAGTACTTGTATCTACAGTATGTCAAGAACCCTTACGGCTCAATAATAAAAAGACCAATTTCCCAATTAAAAATGGGCAAAGGAACTGAATGGACATTTCTGCAGAGAAGGTGCACCCATGGCCAGGAAGAGCAGGAGATGGTCACCATCACTGGCCGTCAGGGAAAATCAAAACCACAGTGAGATACCACTTCACAGACACTAGGATGGCTGAACATTTTAAAACCAAACAAATACACAGAATAAGACACATGTTAACACAGATGTAGTGAAATTGGAGCCATCATACACTGCTGGTTACAAAGTAAAATGGTCCGGCCGGTGTGGCTCAGTGGTTGAGCATTGACCCTGCACCAAGAGGTCGCAGGTTCGATTCCTGGTCAGGGCCCAGGTTGTGAGCTCGATCCCCAGTGGAGGGTGTGCAAGAGGCGGCCCATTGATGTTCTCTCTCATCCATGTTTCTAACTCTCTCTCCCTCTCTCTTCCTCGCTCTCTAAAATCAATGAAGAAAAAAAATTTTTTTAAATCAAAATAAAAAAGCAAGCAGGGTTTCATCCTAGGGGACCTGAAGGAAGTGGACCATGAACTTGGTGAGGGACAAATGCTTCCAGGACCTGCAGCCAGGAGACCTGGACACGCCCTGCCCTGCCCTCTTGCTTCTCTCTGTCACTTAGGCTGTCTCCGAGTCTGTCTCCTCATGGCTGTGCACAGCCCAAGTCCAGCCCCTGCTCACAGCTCCCGCGAACCTGCTCTACGCGGGTCGCCGGTCTCGACCATTTACTCCTCTGTGAGCTTTGAAGCGCGGAGAGGTTAGCGATCTGCTAACAGCCACTGGGCTCGGGCACCAAGGTCCTCCACTGTGCACCCACCACCTGGCTGCCCCGCAGCGTCGGCATGCTCCAGTCTGTACTGAGCATAAGGTGTCAACACATACCTTGCACATACCTTGTCCTCCAAGCTCTGCATTCAATCAACATCTTTTAATAATCATGCCAATTTGGGGGGGGGAGCACTTGTCAAGCTCCAAACATTTACTGTATTGAAGGACGTGTTTTCAGGCTTTTAAAACCCTCACTCTTCTGACAGCACGACAGCCTTCTATAAAAATCAGTGGCCGTGGCCGTGGCTGTGGCTGTGGCCTGGGCCGGCCGATAGGGTCTGACTGTCCGCTGCAGATGTCCTGCAAAGCCTTCCGACGCCCAGGGGACCAGGCAGGGAGCCCGCTCCTGCCCTGCCTACCTCAGTCCCGACGACCTCTGGATCACCAGGTAGGCGTCCACCGCGTAGCAGAACAGCCACCAGAAGCAGACGCTGTACAGCAGCTGGATCCACACCTGTCGCCAGGGAGATGGGGCGTCAGCGCTGCAGGGCACAGGCGCCAGGTGGTCCCCACGTGGGCGTGAGATGGGCTGTGGCACCGCTCCTGCTGACATTCCGAGGCCGCACAGGACAGCCTCCGGACACACGCGGGCAGCCTGGAAGCCAAGGGCAGGGGTGGCCAGACACAGGTGTGTGTGTCTTCCTCCCTCTGCTCAGCGGGCTGCACTAGGGAGCCTGCCTCCGCGCGCGGGCACCGGGGACGGCAAGGCTTTCCGTGCGCAGGCACCGGGGAAGGCAAGGTCTCCACTGTGCAGCTTAAACAAGCGAGAGGACCCACAGGGTCTTGGAAGGAGAAGCTCTTGGCTGAGAAGGAAGGCGTGCGGGCCAGAAAGACTGCGGTCGGCCTTCCCAGTGCAGGGGGAAGGGAGAACTTCTGTGCTAGAGGCAGCCACGGGACCCAGAGGCCTCCCGGTGTGGCCTGAACCAGATGCTCACCAGGGCACCTAGGAAGCCGCCACGGAGGGGAGGGAGGGAGGGGCTGACAATTCTGCTAGACGGCGGGGTTCACACAGCATCCATGGACTCTGAGATAGTTCACTGCAGCCTTAACTCCAAGGACACAGCCGTGTATATATATTTCATTAAGCAAAATGCATCCAATGCATATATATATATATATATATATATATTTTTTTTTTTTTTCTGGCCCGCTGGTTCTGATTGTGGCTCCAGCTGAGATAAGGTTCGTAGGACTGTACAGGTGTGTGAAGGAGGAAGAAACCACACTCAACCCCAGAGGCCCCCACCCGGGGGTCCCTGATCATCAGTGCTGGGGAAGGAGCTGTGTCTGAGGATTTCCGTTTCTAACAAACTCCAGTGGGTCGGTGGGTGGGGTGGGACCTTCTCTGAGGCTCCCGCCATACCAGGAGCACCGCGAGGGAGGCGGGGCGAACAAAGGGGGTGCACTCACCGCGCTCCCCACGCAGAAGGCGGCAGGCCAAATGTCTGTCGCGTTCACGGCAGAGATGTTTTCCACGAAAGCAGGGAATCCTAACCACACCGCCGACCTGAAGACGATACCTAAGCGAGAATTAGAGATCTTCCTTTGTACTCGGTCCTAACTCGGATCTAAAAGTGAGTTGTTGCTCTATGAACAATGATACACGGGTGGATGGATAGACTGACGGACTGATTAGCAGATGGACAGAAAAGGAGAGAGAAAGGGGGGAGGGGGGCAGAAGCAACTCACACGATGATCTGTGCACAGGCCTCTAGTTCTCCTGTCTGGTCCCTAAGCACGGTTCTCCCCTCCCTGTGCTCTGAGCACACGCAGGCTGTGCGCCCTCACCCAGGCTCCAAGCAGGTCTCCACACGGGGCTCGCGCCCCTAACTGCACGCACCAGGGCCCACCTGGACCCTGCGCCCTCACCCAGGCTCCAAGCACATCAGCGCTCCGGCGCGCGCCCTCACCCAAGCTCCAAGCACACCACAGTACTCGGGCGCGCGCCCTCACCCAGGCTCCAAGCACACCACAGTGCTCTGGCGCGGGCCCTCACCCAGGCTCCAAGCACACCACAGTGCTCGGGCGCGCGCCCTCACCCAGGCTCCAAGCACACCACAGTGCTCTGGCGCGGGCCCTCACCCAGGCTCCAAGCACACCACAGTGCTCTGGCGCGGGCCCTCACCCAGGCTCCAAGCACACCACAGTACTCGGGCGCGCGCCCTCACCCAGGCTCCAAGCACACCACAGTACTCGGGCGCGCGCCCTCACCCAGGCTCCAAGCACACCACAGTGCTCTGGCGCGCGCCCTCACCCAGGCTCCAAGCACACCACAGTGCTCGGGCGCGCGCCCTCACCCAGGCTCCAAGCACACCACAGTGCTCGGGCGCGGGCCCTCACCCAGGCTCCAAGCACACCACAGTACTCGGGCGCGCGCCCTCACCCAGGCTCCAAGCACACCACAGTGCTCGGGCGCGCGCCCTCACCCAGGCTCCAAGCACACCACAGTGCTCGGGCGCGCGCCCTCACCCAGGCTCCAAGCAGGTCCCCACACACGGTGCTCGCGCCCCTAACTGCACGCACCAGGGCCCACCTGGACCCTGCGCCCTCACCCAGGCAGCCGAGCACGTCGCAGGCGGCGACGGCGCGTAGGATTCGGGTGGATGCCGGGGCGCGGGTAGACACCGGCGGGGATGTCGAGGGCGCCCCGGGGCCCGCGGGCCTGCGCCCGGGCAGCAGCTGCAGGAGGCCGAGCGCCAGGCGGAGCGCGCCGCTGCCCAGGCACAGCGCGTGGAACGCCCGCGGCTGGAAGCTCATCATGAGCTGGGTGGCGGCGTCCCGCGTGGGACAGCAGAAGGTCCCGAGGCGCGGGGAGGCCATCGTCTGTGCTGGAAGACTCGGCCCGGGTCTGCCAGGACCCTGCCGGCGGCCTGGGTCATGTGCTGGGCCGGCTGGGGGGAGGGGGGTCATGTGCTCTGGGCCTCTCCCCGCCCCCACCCCATTCCCGAGCTTGCAGAAAAGGCACCAGGCTCGGTGGGGGCTGTGCGCCCTCTGCAAAGGCCACGAGGCCTCACGAGGGTGACGCTCGGTGGGGAGGAGGGGTAGAGGGGAGGAGAAGCGCCAGAGGTCGCGGGGTCAGCTTTCTTCCCTCTCGCCAAGCCTTCCCAGTGGCTTAATTCTCCAGAGTGTAGGGCCCCCCCAACTGTCACCGCGACTTAATCGACCTTCCGGAAAAGCCTGCGCGGTGTGCGGATCTTTCCCGGTGGGACTGGCATCCTACCTGGATGCATCACAGGCCCCACAGCCGGGCATGAGCTGAGACTGGTGTGACTGGCGTTACAATAGTGCTTTACTGTGGTTCCTCTCCAAGGGAACCACCCCGCGGAAGCAGGGCTTTCCTTTAAAATCAACAAATAAGGGTGGAAGGAAGGGGCGACTGCTTGGCCTAACCAGGCATGTGTACACACGCGCACACACACGTACACACACGCGCACGCGCGCGCACGGGCTGGCGCGCACACGTGCACGCACACACGCACACGCACACAAACGTCCACACGTCCACATGCACGCGCTCGCGCACGTACTCACATGCACACATACACACGGGCACATGCGCGCGCACATGCACACGCACATGCATGCACACACGGGTGCACGCACACACGTACACACATGTGCACACACGCACACATTTGCTCCCTTTCTTTCAGGTCTGTTCCACTTGTCACTCAGCTCAGAGATTTCAGGTTCTGTTTTTGACATTTTGAAGGAACTTTCATGAGTAACTGTTTAGAAAAGGAGTTATTGGAGTATGTTCAAGTTTTCCAACTGCTATAATTTTTCTGCATATTGTATTATACATTGCAAATCTGGCTTGATTCTATCTGCATTAAAGTTTCAAAACTATAGCAGGACTAGTGACGGTAAATATACCGAGTGAAGATTAGAAAGAAAAAAAGCTCTTTAAGGTTGAAAATGAAAGAGCTGTCTCCAGGTTTCAGCTTTACTAACCAAAGCTTTATTTAAAAAGAAAAGAAAAAAAACTCTATTATATTTATCATCCTCAGTAAACCCAGGAGGCCTATTGGCAACCAGACACCCTTTGACCCCTCCCCCCAGTAAATGAGCCCCTCTCCAGGTTTTCTCCCCATCAACTAAAGGGGAGGCACACCCACCTTTTCCTCCGTGTTCTCTCAGTAAACACTTAAATGCATACAGTTGGGGTGCCTTCCCACCCAGGGTGCCCCCGCAGGTCCCCCGCAGCTTCGCAGTTTGAAGTGCGGGGCCGACTTTGGGCTCCGAGGCTGCGCCTTCTTCCAAAGGAGCAGGGGCCGGGGCGCCGGGGAGGCAGACAGACCTTGGCTGCCAGATGGGAAGCAGAGGCTGAAACAATAGCCCACAGAGGCCACCACTTCAAAAGGTCCGCCCCGCCTGTGGTGAGCTCAGCAGCTGCTGTGACAGAGTCCGGAACGGATCGGCATCGTCAGACCCTTCACTGCTCTTCCCTGTTCCCCGCCTGCTGGTGTAAAGGCAGAACGCACCGGGGAGCTACTCCCGGGACCTGGCTGCAGCGACCCCGAGCCCGCCTCCAGCTCGCGCGCCCATCTCCTCTCAGAAAGCAGAGGTTGCTTCCGGAGGGGGTGTGGAATGTGCTTTGAAATATGACAATGAAATGTGAGTGTCTGGCCCAGCCGGTGTGGCTCAGTGGTTGAGCGTCGACCCTGCACCAAGAGGTCGCCAGTTCGATTCCCGGTCAGGGCACATGCCCAGGGTGTGGGCCTGATCCCCAGTGGAGGGCGTGCAGGAGGCGGCCCATCGATGTTCTCTCTCAACAATGTCTCTCTCACTTCCTCTCTCTCTAAAATCAATAAAAAAGAAAAATTAAAAAAAAAAAGAAAAGTGACCATCTGCACGTAACCCTGATGCGAGGGTTTGGGTGGCTGATTCACGCAGAGGTGTCGCTGCGATGCAGTCTGTGCTTGTGTCCAAGCTGCACACACCGCCCTCTGCCTCCCCCACGCCAACCTGCACGCACTGGATGGCTCCGGTGCCCAGAGTTCACGGGCACGGCCACCCGGGTATCCATGGTCAGAATCCCCTTGGGGAGGACAGTGTTACCAGCCAGAGGCCAGGGGGGTACAGCTCAGAGGATTATACTGCAGATGGACCTCAGAGCAAACCTATGGAAGGCAGGGTGTAAGACTAGAGTCCCTCACTGTCAAAGAAGTAAGAGGCAACTGGAACTTAGTGTGAAGAATAAAACTGAGATGAGCACTTTTCCGCGAGACAGGGCAACTGCATTGTGCAAAAAGGCAAAGAGGTAAAGAACACACACGGGCACACACGCACAGCCGGGAACATCTGGAAGCGCAAACACGTCAGCCGTACAAGGTGACACTGCAGAGCCCCCGCCCGGTGAGCGCGGACGCGGAGACACCTGTGCAGTAACGCTCAGAGCCTTGAGGGTGTGAAGGGCAATTCTCTCCCTCTCGCCCAGTTCAGCGCCTGGGTCCCATCCTGCAGCTACTCCATCGGGCTGCCCAGGAAGTACCCTGTTGTCTCCCTGTCTCTTCGCTCTGCAATCCACCATTTACCTGTCATTGCCACTTGGTTGGATACACTGACTGCGGGGAGAGGCCAGGGCTTTCTCTCCCAGGCACCTTATGCATTGCCCTTAAGTGCCCTGGCACCAGAGGTCTCCCCGTAAAGGCTGGAGTTCATGGTGAGAGCCCCTGGTATGTCCAGGCGGCCACGCCAAGAACAAAGGCACGGCCGGCACCCGATCAATGAACCAGGCATCACAGTGTTTGTACGGTGGAAAGAGTTAGCGTCGAGTATGGTTTAAAAGCAAAGCGTACGTTTTCTAGAATGGAGAGGCGTGTAAAGACTGTCCGCCTGAGAACAGAAATCATCAACCTGACCGGGCAGTGTCTTGCAGACCTCATGGAGAAAGAGACTCCGGTTCAGGGTGCCCCCAGACTGTCCTTTTCTGCCCAGCTCCCAGGTGGTGCTGCTGGTCAGTGGCTCCTCCTTGAAGTAGCATTTGTGTGTCGACCGGAAAGAGAGAGGGAACACCCAGGCCATGTTGACATTGGGAGGGCTTCGTTCAAAATAGATGCTGATAGACCCGTCGACATCCGACTCCACCAAACATCACCCTCACTGCAAATGGCAGGTGACGGATGCGGGGACGAGGCTGGCAGCGATGAGTAACATCCTTCTGCTCGCGAGCCCCCTGTGAGTGAGGCATGTCTGGGACTAACTTGAGACAGAAGCCAGGATGCTGGGAGGAAAAGGAAGCACGTGAAAGAGGAAGAAGCCAGATAAGGACCAGGAGAGACAAACAAAGTGATTGGTGTTGGAAAAAGAGAGCACGTCCTGACAGTGTTCTCGGAAGACACTCAAGGAATGTCCGCCGGGGTCAAGATAGAAGCAGAGGCCAAGGGTCCGAGGGACAAGCGCCTTCTCGGGCTCCTGGCACAGGTGGGCAGCGCAACACCGTCCAGCGAGCCCATGTAGCCACAAGGACCCTCACCCCTGCACACCGTTTCAGACGTTTCTCTTTGGAAGCCAGCTAGCCAGTGGTTGAATAAATAAAGCTCCAGTCGAAGGCTGGTCTGGGTGTGCCTGACACAGACTGGGCTTTCATCACAGCTAAACTCGCCGGAACGCCGACACTCCCCAAAGAGAGAGCCGCCCTGACCAGCCCGCTGAGCTGTGGTGCGCAGCGAAGGTAACAGCGCACGAAGTTGCGGTTGATCTGAGTGGTAGAAAGGACACGGAGGAGAAACAGAAGGTCACAGAAATGCATTCAACGCTGATTGTGATAACAGTAGCTAATGCTCTTATTTTATTTTAGTTTTTTTCAGCTGGATCATTGCTAGTCTTTATTTTATTTATTTTATTCCTCACCGAGGGTATTTTTGTATTTATCATTGGATAGAGTGGGAGGGAGGGAGAGAGGCAGAGAGAGAGACATCGATGTGATAGAGCCACATCGACTGGTTGCCACCCGCGCGACCCGGCCAGGGCCGGGCAGGAACTGCAACCGAGGTATGTGCCCTTGACCGGAATCGAACCTGAGACTCATTGGTCCACAGGCCGACACTCTAACCGCTGAGCCAAACCGGCCAGGGCTAATGCTCTTATTTGCAAACAAACATTTAATGGCAGAGAGAATGAAGCTGGAAATGAATGGGCAACCATGAACTGCTCAGGGTAGTTCAGGGGTGACCTAGCTGAGGTCGAGAGAGGTGTTCTCACCTGGAGATGGAGGTCCACCTTCTGTGCTTCGGCCGATGTGCTGGGGAGCAGAAGTCATTCATTCCCCATCGCTTCCCGAGAAGACACTGTTCCGACATTTACACGTCAAAAGGCATTCCTGTATCGTCCTTAACAATGACGAAAGCCAGCGGTTCCGTTCAGTTCACTTCTTCCTTTATGCTGACATCCGGACCTCTCTGCTCAAATAGAGAAAAAGGGTCTATTTTGGTGAAAATTTCCAGCACCCAAAAGGAATGTGATGATTTTGAGCCCCGATATTCAGCCATGCATCTGCACCAACAGGGCGTGCACTTTTGAGAAGCTGGAGAGGCAGGTCACAGAGAGCCAAATGGGACGATACCTGCTAAGGGAGGAAGGAAGCAAGGAGGGGTGGTTATATATATGAATATGTATATATATATATTCATCCTCACCTGAGGATAATTTTCCATTGATTTTTAGAATGGAGAAAGGGAGGGAAAGGGAGAGAGTTAGAGGGGGAGAAATATCGATGTGAGAGAAACACGTGGGTTGCTTGCCTCCCACACGACCCCAACAGGGGCCGGGGATCGAACTTGCAATCCAGGTATATGCCCTTGACCAGAATCAAACCC